CATTATTCTATAGATAAATGAATCTAGGACCAAAGAGATTCAGTCCGTATGGAGGGCAGTATTTTTATTACATTTGCCTGAACTAGGTAGAGCGTTCTTACAGTATATTCTCTGGTCATAATTCCGATAGGTGGTTCTCTCTACTGTAACTAACCCTCTATTGTACTAAGAATACTTCACTTTAAATAAAATGTATCCATTTGCGACGACTGGTGTATTATATCTAATATAATTAATTGATATTGGCGGTATTTAAACATATTTGTAAAATGGAAGTGTTAGTCTCCAACAGACGTGCGAACACTGATCCGACATGTTAATACCGCAGCTTGAGCATAACATCCCCCACACCTTCAAACACCCGTGCTTCAAGTCAGCTATTTGTTATTTTATCCAGATTTTTTATAGACCTTTACAATCACACAAGAGATTTTGATGATGGATATTCGTAAGATAACAATAATTTCAGCCGCATCGTATTGGTCTTCAGTGAAATAAAAATAAAAGAAGCAAACGCACGGCAGCTCGGGCCCGTCGTTTAAACATGAACAACGACAAAGCCAAGCACTGCAAATGATGTCGGAGATAGCTAGACCGGGAAGTTTGTGTAAGCATAAATTAAAACAAGCGTTTCGCAAAAAGTTGATAAATGGCCCTCCACAGTCGGTGCGACAAAAAAAAGGCAGTGACGGCATCCGAAGCGCTAACGCGTTTCATTTTGCGCTCAGAACCGACATCTGGACGTTTTACAGCTCCGACAAACTATGAATTTAATGACTGAAAGCGTCAAATAACATAATGAGATCTACTGAAACAGTTACCAAAGATTAATCAGATACATACATAAGATTAAACCATTATGTAATTAATTTATGATATCATTTTAACTGTAGAATAGAAGAACAAGCTCGTATGATATATCTATACCGAAAATGCTCAAAATATATGTATGCCGAAAAATATACAATGTCATTACTTTAAGATTACATCTTGTGTGAGGATGTTTAACAAACATAAATTTCGCGCGGACAAACACCCAGCTTTGAAATATCTGTCTGTGGGTCACAGAAATAGTTGTCCAGTGTGCACGACGGAGTCGTCATAAAAGTAAGCACGAAATAGCGACAGAGATTTTCAAACTTCAGAAATCTGCAAATAGGACAGTCGTTGATGCAAGTCAATGTGATTCGAAGACCCCATTTCAGTTCACAAACTCAAAATTATTAGTCTACTATCACTCTTATTCATGTGTTTAACATTAATTATTCTTTTAAATATAAATTTTACAGAAGTAACGATCTTGTATTAATCGCTGTTTGCTGTTCATCGATGTCCAATACTTTTTTTATACAGTTATTTCAAGTTGTATTTGATAGTTCAGAAAAATAAAGAAATACTTTTTCAAGATGAACCATAACGAAGACCTACAAAACTGCAGTTCAAACAATCAGGGCCCCATAAATAAGGGCGGTAAGCGATGCAACGGCCGATGAAAGCTACCCGCGAATACGAAACCGTGGTAAGGGCCACGCAACAGTGTTCGTTGCTGCACGAATTGGCAGGTCCGTCCAAGGAAGTACCTACCACGACCCCCACAGACGATCGACATGAAGTGGTATTTTTACATCTGCGTTATCTGGTGAGTGAGGTAACCGGAGCCCACTTTATTAAAAGCATATTCAACCCTACGTGTGTTGCAAATTTAGGTACACGGGCGGCCGTTATCACTATGGTGGGTCCACGCAGCAGCCTCGGTTGTTGCACGAATGGGCAGGCTCGTCCAGGTAAGTACCATGACCTCACAGAAGGCTGGCGTAAAGTGGAAGTATAATACTTTCGCGTTTCGTCTGGTGAGTGAGGCGGCCGGAGCCCAATTTTCCAAAAGGTTGTCAACGCATCTGGAACCCTCAGTTGTGGCAGATGTCCATAGGCGGCGGTTATTCACTTAACATCAGGTGAACATCAAAAAAAGCTTAACACCAGGTGAACCGCCAGCTCGCTTGTCCATATCTCCGTCGAGTAAAGCATTACTAGAGTGGAGGGATTTAACTAAGTCGCCACCGAAACAGCGGTGAACGCAACTCACGGTGCCGTGATTACCTTAACGCCCGAGCGCGTCCAACCGCCCTGCGCAACCCCTTCAAGTGAGGGCGAAAATTCACTCGGCATATCCACCGGACCTTAATGCTCGCCAATTTTCAGTTTTTTATTTTTTATTTTCACAAAATAATTCACGTGCGCCTGTCCTGTGAGCGTTATTAAAATGTTACGCTATTCGTGTTAAACACTTTTGCATGGGGAGTGGAATAATAATAACTTATTTATTAATGTACTATTTGTTTTATTTTCGACATCTTAATTGTAATTAAAAATACTCTCCATCCAAAACTGATTCTGTTGAAGAGGATTTTAGTGAAATCGCAGATTGAAATAAACAATGAAACCTATTTTTAAAGAATCATTGTACCTATCGCTTTCGATAGCTAGCCAACCAACGTTCAATTACGCCGTTTTTAGTTTTTTTACATTAACTTTACAGCAATACAAAAGCGGTATACAAATTACATTATTACTTACGAATGGAACGCATTAATCTCAAGTTAACATAACTGTTATGAGAAGAATAAATAACGTACGTTAAACTATTAATATCGAACGAAGTTGAAAGGGAACAGAACAATCAATCCTGGCGTAATGTAACTTGAAAGTTAGCTGCCGTCATGGGGCAAGTTGGTAAACGTATTAGAATCACTCGGGGAATGTAATTCAGGTCGGAGCGGCGTTTATAAGACCGCAATACGCTACAGTTAGAGACGGCGGCCAAGGGTGGAATGCGAGGCCCTGTGAAATACGCAATAAAGCGACACATGCAACGCCGCACACAGCCCTCGCCTCGCCGTGCCAAAGCACTACACGTCACACAGCCGCAAAACTAGAAACTTGCATATTAATTCTATAATTCAAACCGGCAACGCCGCCGCCATTTTAGGCCGCCTTAATTACACCGCACCCGATGACAATACGCACACACGATCGGGTTACATATTACGGAGGTCGGATTAGCAGAACTTCCGATTTCCCGCGCGCGGAACCCCGCAAACTATCCGCGTACGGAGAGTTGAATAATCCACAAACGCTCCCTTTAATTGGTTTACCGCAGTCCTCTATTAACGAAATAAGATGGGAAATCAGAGTATTAGCATAACAGTGAATTCGATTAGGGTTCACAAAGAGGATTACAACTTTAACAATGAACGGAAAGTTGAAACGGAGGCCTAATAAACTAGTGCGGAGCAATCGAATTTCGAACGAATAATTAAATTAATCGCATTCAGTCGTTTTCGGTCGGTTCGTTTAAACTTATTTCGCTATACCGTTGCGGTGTAAAAAGAAAGTTTTGTAACAAAGCATTTATTTATTATTTCTTTAATCATAACATCATGTGAATCCAAAACCGAATGCAAATCCAAAAACGTAAATTCGTTCGAGATCCGGGAACAGACTACAAACTATAGTCATTGGCACTCATTCTACACCATTGCCAAGCCGTAACTGTGATCTATGAACGCAATAAAGCAAGTCAGATTACGTCAAGTAATTCACTGTAGTTGGCTTGTTCCAACACTTTGGTATTCGCTGGGCTCGCAAACGAGAATAGAGAACTCATGGTTGTCCACTGCGCTTATACAATGGTACTAATGTTCGATCTTTGTGTTTATATAGAAATATTAGCTTAACTTTTATTATAAGGGGATAATTTGTTTTTGTTGTCATGTAATGGGTAACCACTGTACTGAAATAATTCTAAAGTTGCATGCAACACCTAACAAAGAACATTCAACGATGAACACCACCTGTACTATTAAAACTTTAGGATTAATTTAAAAAAACTATCTTAATCTTTTAAGGCGATACTGTACCATAGAAGATCGATAAAATTGTCCCATATTATAACGGTATTAAATGTACGTAACCTAAACAGACAAATACCTGTGCTTCAGAGATTTTATTACGTTAAACGATTAACTTGTGTGCTATATAAATTAATTTTATAACTCCTCTGGTGTTTCTAATAATTCATTTAATCTAATAGTTCATAAGCGATGATCACTTACCATCAGATGAACCTTTTGCCTCTTATCCACATTTCTCCTCAATCACAAAAGCTGTAAAACGTGTAAAAATGATAAGGTTACAGAGTTGATTACTTTTCTTCGAGATGATTGCAGTGTGAGGCCAAACATAACATATCGACTATAAGGCACGCTTACACCGCTTTGTTCATTTAAAAAAGAAACGCGTAAGTCATTAAACAACTCAAAGAAAGTATTTACAGAAATAATAGTCCATAAAACCCATACAGTGAATAAAAATTTTTATAAAAAACACTAAGAAAATATATAAAAAGTTAATAATAACTTATGATCACCGACATTTTCTCCTTCCAGCGTTTCTCATCAAACATCTCACGAAGTATAACGAAGAATAGTCCAGGAATGGGATGGCTCACAGAGATAAACTGGTGATTTTAAGAATGAGTTATCTAACCACGTCAATTCGTAAACTCACGTTATACACAAAGTTCCAAACAAAATTTTCTATGTTAGTGAAGAGCAAACAAATAAGCGTAATTAGTATTTTTTCCCAATGATAAATAAGGAGCGCGTTCACGTTCCGTTAAAAACATTATACGCTTATAAGTCATTTGTTTGGGCGAGGTATATACACATATCGTAGAGCTATAAGCTGCTTTAATCACGCCTCATAAGTAATGTTGCTATTTACTAACAACAAATGGCTTAAGAAACAACTCTTCGAGGTGGCGTTCGGTACCAAATGATGGTCCTAAGACGACCTACGTCGTGCTTGCGGCAGCAACGAGTTTTTGATAAGACCAAGCATCGTAGGGCATTAATGAATGTGATATATCACGCCTTAATTTATCACACGCTACGTGGATAAACGTATGAATATATCACGACGGAGCGCCTGATTTAGGTATGGAACGCTTACAGCACCGACCGTTATCAGCTCTTCGTAGGTGTAAGTAGGTTTTATTTTAATGTAAGGTTACCGAAATGAACACTAAACATCACTATGTGAATGTGAACACTAAAATTCACTATATAGCGCCAAGTATTTAGCATTACCATTAAGAACAATTCAGTCGACAGAAAAGCAGTATACATGTGAGGGCTGCTAAGTAGATCAACATAGGATCGATCTTCATACTTCAACTCTGGCGTCGGCTGCGAATGCAACATCTGCGGAGGCGTCGGGGGCGTGGATGAATAAGCAATGAGTCGACGAATGGCTCTATTAAACCTCCATTGTTCTGGGATCGCACGACTTGCGCAAGCGACGTGCATTGTTCGTCTCAGTGCTTTCACCGTGAACCGGTGACGTCACAACGTACACGACCCAAATGCTCGCGTTAGATGTAGTGCAATTTGCATTTGTTGGGCCTTAGGTACGAGCGGCGTTAGGATAAAGCGCGGTGGTAAATTTCCGTTTTGAGCGTTGAGGAATAGTGGCCATGTATCAGTGAGTCGAACGTTTAGTTCTTTTTACCCATAATGGCAAATTTCTGCTCACTCACTAACGGCGGACTGTGTCTGTGACCAGTTATGTACATCATTGACATTTTTAAATTATACATTTCTTACGTTAATATGTAACATTGTTTTCTACGGATTAGTTTAACAATTTATAAAAATTCTCCTAGCTCTTTAGCACAAAGAACCTATTCTATTCTAGCTTAACCTACCTTTTTAGTTTCAGTTGGATTTTATTGTAGGTATATAAATATATCTCACATAGTTAATATTTGACATCACAATACATTAAAATATAAGTAGCTATAAAATATTATGATTGCGTTTACAATAAAAGGTTCTACGACGTTAAGCAGGCAAAACACGACATCGTCATGCAACTTCTACCACGTATGAAAATAACGGTATTGTTTCCGTGAAACAGTGCAACGGGGCGGATATAATAATGCCGTGACAAGTCACGATAGCGGTCGAGGCGGTCTCACGGCGACGCGGTTAACAATCGTTCAATTTGTTGAGTCGGCGTCCGAGCGCGCACAATGCATCGCACGCGACGATACGGACTCATACATGGGGCTGGATAACGCGCAGCAATCAAGATGTCATTTTTCAACTACCCACGCCGCGGACTCCGGTGCGAGCGGGCGAGTTATGGCCGAAGCGGACGCACCGTCCGACGCACAAAGGCGTCTCGGGGTTGTCGCGATACATATCTAGCGGGTAACAACCGCGCCGCAGATCCACTTCTTCCATTTTTGTACGGTGCGCGTAATCGTGTAATGGCGAGCCTATAACTCGTCCCGGTCTTGTCGGATGACGTTTAAGCTTACGGCTTTCAGTGCTAGCTAAAGTCGGAACTCAGAGAGTGTGGAGTTTCCACTGGCCTGTTAAGGATAAGAATATAGCTGTCATAGTATAGGAACATCGAGGTTCTCATTTACGGCGCATGCTGACGCCGATTTCGTGAATAGGCGTACTAACTCCTACCCTGTTTTTACCGCACATCAATATCACAGCAAACACACAGTATTGGCAATGTCCATTACTATGTATTACTATGCGGATGACAGTACGTGTCATATAGAGCAACATACTAAGCAAATATTTTTCATCAATTTAAGACAAATTTTTGTTAAGGAATATTTCGCAATGGGGGCGACTACATTTAATTCAATTTTAAAGGAAGCCTTTAGCGTATTATTTAAGAGGGTTCACCCTGCTATCAAGTCTAAATCAAAATTCTTCTCGCGGTGACATTAAAGGGAAAGAAAAAGCATCCCAATGCCAGCTTCTTTCATCGGACTGCATTCAACGTAAACCTTTTTTTTTATACATGGGGAAATCCATTATGGATAACTGGCTCTCCGGTAGGCGAAGAACCAAGTTATATCGGACTCACACCGACTAAAACCCATGGTGGTCGCCATCTGCTCCGATGAGGGGTCACGGGATCTCCATTCGGAACATTACCGCGGCCCCTCCTTAGCTTGCCTTAGATAGCCCTTTCGGGAACGGTATTACGCTAGCCCCAGCATCCCCGCGGTGGAGACTACTTAAAGCCACCGACCTCCTTTAGGGGGCTTTACTGGGCAATTAAAGGATTCACCCCAATCGCTCATGACCCCTGAGGCCACGTTTCTGCCAGGGGAGCACCATTTCCGTTTGGAGGGCCGTGACGAGGCGCATGAAAGCATCGGTGACCCCGTCTCCGAGTGGAATCAGTTCTTTCTCGATCCCGCTCAGCAGCCTCTTTCTGGACCATTACAGTCTCACAGAAAGACGCTACGGCGCTCCATGCCGTTTCTCCTCTCATCATCGCCGAAACAACTGTTGGCAGATTGAGATTTTGTCCAATGTGGCCCACCAAGACACTCCGCTCTGCATCCCAGACGGGGCACACCGCCAAGGTATGCGTTGCGGACTCTTCGTCGTTTCCACCACAGTGGAAGCAAATCGCCGTCGCCTCACGTCCAATCTTCCACAGATAATTCTAAAGCATCCATGCCCAATGATTATCTGTGTTAGCCTGTAGGTGAGTCTACCTTCTCGCCGCTGCATCCAGGTGTCGAAGACCGGTAGGAAGGCTTCAATGACACGCTTATGCGCGTATTGCGCTTGGCTGAGGCGAGAGCTCCACATCGCCAAAGCTCTCCGCTGTTCCTGCCTCATGATGGATTCAAACGCCTCTTGGCTCACTGCCAATTCAACGTAAACCTACTCGAATGTTCGATGACCATGTTCTCCTTAAGATCCTCCTCCGAGGTCCTCTATCTTCTGACCTTATGAATAGATTTTGTTTCTCTGTGCATTTTTGTTTTTTTGATATTATTTAATAATTATAAAATGTGATCAATAAAACGTAATTGATGCACGATGCACTCCATGACGGAGAGTAAACGCAGCTGATGACGACTGGAGCAGAGTCTACACCAATCACCTGCCGTCGTGACGGTTCACTTTCATTCACTCCTTGGAAAAAATGAAATGCAAAAAGTGTTCACTTCAAAACATCGGTTAATTTAATGCAAAATAAAAATAAAGCGGTGCTTCCGCGCGGCATACGTCACGCCAGTAAACACTCTCGCCGAGATGCTAACACCTAAAGCCCTATTAAGCTAACGAGGCAAACAAAGCCTAAATTGTAAGGAGCCCTATGTGTAAAGTAGCTAAATACAAGCTTCAGGTCCGCTGAAACGGTCATTATGACAATTCACAGAAGTCCGTGGCAACATATCGCCGGCAAAAGGTGGAAATATTCCGGGGGAAATTACAGTAATCATTGACACGAACCATTGCTTGAAGCAGGTTAGAACTGCCAAGTTTTAAAAGATTCCAAACGGCAACTAACGATTTAAAAACCTTACATCCACAAGACTTGTTGTTCCTCTGTGTATTTCAGAAAAATAACATACTAACTACAATGTTAATGTATTAAAATTATCACAATACTGTAAGACATCTTTTTATATAACTCTATATTGCACCAAATTCAATAATAGATATGCAGTAGCAGCAAAAGTTTTCATAGCCCTAAAATGGTACATAATTTTCGATAGTGTTCGTTACGATTCGCGGTTTTACGAAACAGCACATTTGGAATAGTATATCACATGGTCTAAATTTAAACAAAATTCTATTATCGTAACACAAAAAATTATTAAAGTTATTTATCATATTTTTAAATTTTTACCGTTCTGCGTATACTTAGACCAATGGTTACTAATGGTATTATAAATTGGCACTACCAAGAAGCTCCCAAGTTGACTGTGAAACAAAGAAAAGTAACAAATACTTAGAATGATAACAACGTATTGTATTCCCACTTAGATGACTCCGGTTAACTCGAAGTGGTAGCGATATAAGTAACACTCTGCCATAAAAGGCGAAACATCTCCGGGTGGCATCATTGTATGCCGCACAATAGGGCATCGATCGTGTTAGTTTATGCGGAAATGTATCGTAACTAATGACTCCCGACTAGTAATTGAGGCTGAGGCGGTTGCACGGACGCGATTAGAGATATCGAATTGATGACTTGTTACGATATCAACACATGCCGCCGCATCTATCACGCGATCGTCATGTCGGCGATCGGTCGATGATTTATGTGAGCAATCTCGTTGCCTATTTACTTGCTAATGTGACGCAATAAAGCGGACATAATCTGTATACAACGATGTACTCAATTGCGAACCTATTATCACAGTACTCACTTTGTTAACAGCCCGTCGTGCGGCACTAGTGATGGGAAAAGAGAGAAAATCGCAAATTGTTACTCGACAAGCTCTCCCACGAGTAAAACGTAATTGCTTAATGTGTTCCGACACTTCACAAAAATTAAAATGGAACGTATTTCCAAACAAAATCTTAACCATCCCGCAAACAAGCTCTTTTCAGAAAACACGCAAGAGTCACAATTGTATTGTTTGAGTATTTTAAGTATTTTCTCGGAATTTTGACCACATTTTCTTGGATTTTTAAGTGGTATTGTTAAATAAAAAGTAAACGCTTGAAGTACCAAATGTGAAATATGTAAATGATTAATAACCATTTCATGTCAAACTAAATAGAAATAATTAGTTAAATCGACCTCAACCTACTACAAAATTAGACTTCTGCATAACATAAAAATATGATAATGTAACTGAAATGTAAAAAAATTAAAAGAAATATCATTAACGTACTTTTACTTCAAAGGAAACCAATCCATATAAAGGTTTTAAGATTTCGTTTTCCGACAGAAATTAAACTTTCACAGATTATCAGATCTGGCAACTCTATTGGGCTATACATTTGGGCTTAGTATTAGTTTGGTTTGCCATTTTGTCATGAATAGGCTAACGCCAGAAAAAGTTTGTATGATGTGGCAAATTTATTTAAAAAACTAGGTGCTACCCACGACTTCGTCTGTATTGCTTATTATATTACAATGTATTTTGTATGCAGACGAAATAACATCGAAAGGAAAAATATTTAATAATTAAATAATAATTATTATAATACATATTATATAATTAAAATATATAATATGATTAGAGTTGAGGCAGAGGCATGAAACCACACATTAGTGATCATGTAATACTTAACAAAATCGTTGATTCTGAAAAGGATAATTACTTTACATTAAATGAAGATTTTTTATTTATTTTTATTTATAGAAATTAGCGCCAGTGACAAAGAACTATAATTATATATAAAGGATGATTTTTAGACGAAGTACATACTTTGACATAATGTTAATTGAGCATTCCATAATTCAAAAAAATATTAATATTTTAATTTGACAGTCTTTAAACTCCAATCATGACCCACTAATAAAACTTCTCCCTGTGTCTTATAAATCTTTGGATATGAGTTTGTCAGTTTTCAACCAACCAAATGCATGGGTCATGAAAATTTCTAAGGATTTGTCGGTGTATGTTCCAATCATGAAACAATTCGATTGATTTATCGGTTTATGTTCAGATTAGTTAGTGTGATTCGAGAACGTTTTTAAAGAAGATTTAGTCTTACCTCAAATTTATAAATAGATTTGATACAAGATGGCTGTAGATATGTACGCACCTTAAATATTTATGATCTATAACAGCCAGCAAACCTTATTGGCCAGATTTAATAAGGCAACCGTATATCATAATAAACGAAATAAAATAGCTTTAATTTGATACATAAATAATAAATGTAGGTTATGGACGTAAAAACGTATCAGAATCATACCTGTTTACACCTGGCTACGAAGAGGTGCGGCCAAGTGCGCAACGGAAACTGTGATTTTTCAGTCTTAATGTATATTGCCGTGAAGTGTCCATATGTTATTCAAAAAACAAATGAATGAATTTTTATTATAAAAATTTCTAATGTAAAAATATTTGCGGCCACATTTTGTTAGGCAATCCGGTAAATATATATTCTTCTAATCATAAATATGCGTAACAAGTTCGATTTTAGCATATACTCGATGAGTGTAGTAATTCTGGAGCCGGATCTTAGACCAACACGTTCGAGACCGAAAATCGTGTAAATTAAAAATATGTATTTATACAGCGTGGCTTTTCTAAAAGTGCCCAAGTTCACACAGGAGGTTCAGACTCGGTAGTATAGTCGTTTATTGAAATAAAAACAACAAATAATTTTCCCTTCCCAGACATCTTGGCCCATCGCATAAAGCTTGGGTATAAAGCGTACCCTCTCAAGTTTCTTGATAATTTTAATCCAACATTGTGCAGAACTAATTCGTGTAAATAAGACGATTATTGTAAATGTATCAAGCTTTCGCTGGCGACTAATGTAATAGTAGCAGCCAAATCGCTATTATCATCAATACCAGCATTGTATTCGGACGGAAAGACTCTGTGGGTTCCACTAGCTAAGAAGGAAGTTGTCATCTGTCAGTTTGTTCGCGAGTTTCACTAGTTAAGGACAAAGCTGTCACCCTATAACTAACTATAAACGAAGCTATCACCCGTCAGGTGTTTGGTGTGTCCCACCAGCTAAGAACGAAGTTGTTTCATGTCAGGTGGTTGGTATGTTTCACTAGTTAGGGGCGAAGTTGTCATCTGTCAGTTTGTTCGCGAGTTTCACTAGTTAAGGACAAAGCTGTCACCCTATAACTAACTATAAACGAAGCTATCACCCGTCAGGTGTTTGGTGTGTCCCACCAGCTAAGAACGAAGTTGTTTCATGTCAGGTGGTTGGTATGTTTCACTAGTTAGGGGCGAAGTTGTCACCTGTCAGGTGGTTGGTGTGTTCCACTAACTATAAACGAAGCTGTCACCCGTCAGGTGGTTGGTGTGTTCCACTAACTATAAACGAAGCTGTCACCCGTCAGGTGGTTGGTGTGTCCCACTAGCTAAGAACGAAGTTGTCACCCGTCAGGTGGTTAGTGTGTTTCACTAGTTAAGAGCGAAGCTGTCACCTGGCAGGTGGTTGGTGTTTCACTAGTTAAGAGCGGAGCTGTCATCTGTAAGGTGGTGGTACTTGGTGTGTTTCACTAGTCAAGAGCGAAGATCTCACCTGTGTTTCACTAGTCAAGAGCGAAGATCTCACCTGTCAGGTGGTTGCCGGTGAACTCGAAGTCGTCGTCCTGGTCCCAATGCTTGAGCGACAGGTTGCCCAGCGGGGTGGCGTTGGCGAACTCCAGGTTGGCGAAGTGCCAGTCCAGGATTTGACGGTCGCGCACCGACAGATACACCGAGCTGGGGGCCAATTATGTCTTATTCATCTTACATTCTGTATTTTATCATATGTTACGTAGAAGTGAAATTTGTTTGGTCCAGCGCTTTACAGAAGACCGACAAAAGTATTTATTTGCGTTTTTTTTATGTGAGCGAGCTGGCGGTTCCCTGGTGTTGATTAAAATCCACATTATACATATATCGTTGCCATATTATGATAAAGTGGGCCCCGGCAATCCGTTCACCGGCTCTTTTTCCTCCTGCCACGGAATCGGGGGGGAAATGGTGCTGTGCCGGTGCACAGTAGCACAGCACACCTCCCGAGCCTCACTGTGTGGTGCACCCGCTATTAAGTGTCGACATATTCAACACTTGTGGCCTTTGTTAATATCTTGCCAACTTTTATACCTCCCCGCCCTGTTTTATACGCCCCGGTTACCTCACTCGTCGAAAGAATTTAACTGTGGTAGGGCCACGCAACAGTGTTCGCTGTTGCACGGATGGGCAGGTCCGTCCGGGTAGGTACTACGATCTCACAGAAGATCTGCGTTAAGTGGAAGTTTTATACTTTCGTGTTTCGTCTGGTGAGTGAAATCTGTTTTTTTAAAGGTTGTCTCAATGCATCTAAGCACACCTGAGCGGTGTTGCAGATCTCCATGGGCGTCGGTAATAACTTTATATCAGGTGAACACCCTGCTCGTTTGACAACTTCTCACATTAAAAAATATATATTGGGCTTGGGAATTACAAAGGGCGATTACAACGTAGGCCAGCGCGCTTAGCATCAACGGCTGGCATCGCTGTGCTGGCCGGTTTTGAATTTAAAAAAAAAAAGCGCGGGTTAAGAAGCCACCCACCTCGGCGGATTGGACTCGAGCTGAGTGAGCTTGTCCTCGATGGTGTTGTTTTGAGAAACGAGCGCCTCGTATTCGTTGCAGAGCAAATTCATTTCCCTGTTGAGCCGGCGGAGGTTGAACTCGTAGAGGACGCCCGCGTCGCCGCCCTAAACGAGTCAAAAACAATATGTTTTAATTAATACTTGTGGCCAGTACTTATTTGTTATACTTCTTTTGGCACGTTTGGAGAAAATGATGACACCCAGATTATTTTAGATTGAAGTTATTTAATTAAACCGTTATCATATGTATGCATTTAATCTCTTATTTCAAGATGTAATTTTAAGTAATTTTTCTTTTATTACGCTAAACGAGTATAATTATATAAAGTTAATAATTTCTTACGTACGGTACATAAGTACACACACGTTTATTTTTTTAATTAAACTAATTAATGTTATCATTTTTGAACTGACAGTGATATCAAATCATATCCATCCCCAGTCCGGCCCTAGCGCTAAGAATTCTGCAAAGTACTTGAAACATTGAAATTTATAATAAAAATGAGCCATGATACAAGTACATAATGCTTTCATTAAAATGGGTAGGTAAATTCAGTAAATCATAAAAGACAAAATGTTTTGATTCCATTTTTGGCCGGTTTCAATATTTGATCTACATATAGATTTAGTTACTGGAGATAGGATTTAGATGTAAGTATTATGGAGCCAATGTCAAATATCTAAAGTAGCAAAATCTATCTGTGGATAGAATATTGAATGAGGCCGTTAGCCATGTTTCGAGTATTCATGAATATCTTTTTACCCGACTTTAGATGGAGGGTAATTTTTTTAAGCGTTTGTATGTATACGTGTCGAATTCTACTCTTGTTTAGATTTATTTATTGATTCGAGATGTTATCAGATCGTCATCATTTTTGTCTCATATAATAAATTGTGTTCGTCATAAAATTTTGACAGGATTGGGACTCTTCCCAATCGACCATAGATTGCAAGCGTATCTTTTAAAATTTGCAGAAAAATGGAAGAAAAGCTTTTAGCCCCCGCGGGAATTGGGTCCGCGTCCTGGGGGAACGCGACCAGACGCTTAAAGTACTACACTAAACGATGATTGCCACACTTATAAAAATCTCAACATATTTTTTGCGTATCTATTGTTATGTTAGTGGAAGAGCCCGTGGGAAATTGACCTACACCCATTTGAGAACTAGATGAATCACATTTTTTCTGAAATGATATTGATTTATAAACACGCTAAAGAAAATTGATTACGATTAAATTAATTAATAATTGCCATGAAAACGTCTCAATCTGCTAGTCGTCATTGGCGTGTTTATAAATTAATACTATTTCAGAGAAAAATATTTCTCATTTGGTAGTCACATGGGTGAAGGTCGATCTCGCACGGGTCTTCTTCTATGTCCTTTATATCACGCTAACATGTTACACATTTTAATGTTTAATTTTAAGTGCAGAGATTACAACTATAAAAACTTTATATAAAATTTAAACGTATTAATACATTTTTTAAACAAAATAGGATACAACCTCTCCTTGCAAGCCTTTCTCTTTCCCCGACAAGAGGCTGTCCTTCTCTGCCTTCATAGACTTCAACAGCTCTTGCACGTCCGTCATCCTGAAGTGGGGGGAAAGAGAGAGTTATATTTAATATTATTTGGCTAAAGAAACACCGGTTCATTTCATGTTAAACAATAATGCGGTCGACAGTCGATAAATCATCGCCGACGATACACTGGCTAACCAAAAAGTTTACGTCTTCGTGAAAAAAAAAAACTGACAAAAAATTCAGTCGATTTCTTACATCTACCCGAATAGTGTACAGTTAATTGATACTATTTTACGGATCAAGTTGGGATGCTATAATTTATAAAATTAAATCCAAGCACACGAATTGTTAGAACTCAAGACACCATAAGCTCTTTTTGCGTAGACCGTAATGAAATTACATAATTGAAAGTATCCCGGGTTAACTTTGACATGAAGTCGTGAAACAACTCAGTCTGTCCCGTGACCGTGGATGCTAGAAAGGGTGCGAAACCTCGGGAATTTAAAATCATAAGTATGAGTATTTTCGTCACCATAAAAAATCAGTATTTTTTATGGTCACGAAAATTATATTAGTGGATAAGTTAAAAAATAAATAAAATTGGACTTACTTATTTATATTCGCTTTTAGTTTTTCCTGTAGGGTTATCACGGCTTTCAAATGTTGTATCTGCAATTGTAAGCGTGGATAACGTTTTCATTTACAAAAGACCTATAGGGCTGTTCCAAACGATTGTCTATCTCAAACAAGCCAGGCATGTGAAGATTTGTGTATATAAATGCTATTATAATATTACCATTTGAATCCATAATGTTAACGGAAGCCTTATATAACCTATTATTAAATTTATTATCGATCGAATCGTATCATCATGTGAGACTTGATAGCTAAGTGTCCGGGCGATAGCTTTTAACTTTACATACTTCAGCAACCTGAGTTCAAATCCCGGTGGCGGCATCAATGTGATTGTTAATGGTAATTTTAAACGATAAAAAATAATAAAAACTAATGTTGAGATATATTGACGTACGCCAATCCGCGATACCGTCGCGAGATGGACTATGCCCTAATACCCTCTGTACAGTAAAGGCCTTTGCCCAGCGGTGGGACATATACAGGGAGGCTTTTCTAAGTGCATCCATTTTTTTTATTAAATTCCAGACATAAATAAAGTTATATACAAAATGATAAATATTAAAAATCACTCGTAAATAAATAATTACATTAATTTGAACTTATCTCAGAAAGTTCAAGATTTTGGGCAACTAATTTATTTTACGCGCGATCATTCATAACTAACACGCACACGTTCTTCGTTTCAAAAATATACGACGCATGTATTAATGACTACCGCATTGTCAACAAGTTCTGTTTTTAAGGGAATAGAGAGGCAATTTTTTTTAAAATAAAAAAGTTTGTTTTTATTTCAACTAAACGATTATACTACCGAGTCCGAACCCCCTGTGTGAATTTGGGCACCTTTATAAAAGCCACCCTGTATAGGCTGTTACTTTAAGATTCATTTTAAACTAGAATAAACTTCGGAAACGCAACTGCCTCGTTACTCGTTAGTACGAAAGACAAGCTTGTGCATTATAAACGTTACCTGTTTGTGTTTTACGTTTTTCTGTTGCAATTTGATCACCCACTCGAGGGCTTGGCCCAGCGAGACGGGCGTGTCGTTGTAATAGTTGAAGTCCACTTGATGCGACAGATACGATGTTGCGTCTAAGAGCCGGTTGAATTCCCGCTCCACCTTGGCATGGAACAAAATCTATTCTGAAGAATCCTATTTTGAAGAGTAGTTTTTAAGCCTACTTTGCTATCTTCCATTTATACAAATGTTCAATAGTTGACATTGCGTTCTTTATAAGAAATTTTAAACGAAAGTTATTTTTGTAAAAACATTCATCTTTATTATTAAACCTAATTTAAGCTAATTTCCATGGCTACTTTCGCTGAAAGCTTTAAAATGGTGTTTGAATCATGTAATTTGGTAAAGAATTATGATAGTGTTATCGTCTTCCGAAGAAAAAACACTTATAAGAAACAATATAAATAGTGTAGTATATTTAAGATCAGATTACTCGCCATTAATTCGAACAAATAGTATAATTTTATTGGTTTATGCGCAAATTTACCGGAAATTATTTAATCATACTAAATATTTTTATTGTTACCTGTTCATATTTAATGTTGTTGATGTATTGTTGTTAATTTCACTTTTCTTTTAAACTTTTCAAACAGTTACTGTTCAAAGTCGTCATACCTTAAGCATAATATGATTACCATTAATTAGGAATAGTCAGATAACACGGGCGTGCCTTAGATTGTGCTTGATATTAATAATCGTCTAAATTATCGAATTCGCGTTAAATTTCTTCATGTTTCAATTGAGGAAACAAAAATATGATAACAATGTAATGTACAATTGGGTAAGTTAATAGGGCATTGTAAAATAAAGTACTTATATATTTTATCAGAAATGTATACGTTTTAGGGGATGGCCTGGGTGACGCCTATTGCCCGGTTCCTATATTCAACGAACGGCCGTTAGTTACATAGCTTCGTAACTTTCATAACGATTTGTAGATAAAAGGCATGTAGGAACCGGACACCTACATTAACAAAACAAATTTTCCTTATGAGCCGTTGCATTACCTACGGAAAGTGATTTACTAGCGTTCCTTTAATCTACAACTCGTTATGATACTTGCGAAGAAAGTTTAATACAGGAACCGGGCATACGTTCAGCAATGGACTAGTACCAGGCTGAAATGACGTTGAGGACGATGAGACATAATAACAACTAACCATTTCGTCCTTATGTTTCGGTACTTGGTTGCCGGTGGCCTCGTAGAGCGGACACTTTTGTTTGATTTTGTGCAGTTCCATGTTCATCTGGACGGACAAGGTCGTGACCGGGTTACCACCTAGGCCGGTCACCACCATTGCTCCTGGTTAACACGGGTACAAATTTATAGACAACATGTCTATTTTTAACCGAGGTAATTACTTTTTTTTTCGTTACCTCAGAACTTTTGATTGAGTGAACCGATTTTGATGATTCTTTTTTTTTTTATTTTAAAGCAGAAATAACAAGTCATTTTTTTACCAACGAAAAAAAAACCAACTTCAAATATCTCGCTCCGTATTCGTTTTATAATTGATTTAATAAGAGCCCTAAGTATCTTCGGGGCCCAAGATCCTATAATACCAATGAATTAATATGGGAGCACAGGGGGAGCACCAGCTTTCAAATAAAAAATGAATCATCAAAATCGGCCCACTCAATCGAAATTTCTGAGGTAACAAACATAAAATAAAAAAACAGTCAAATTAAGAGCCTCTTCCTATTGAAGTCCGTTAAAAACAAAACAGAATTCAAATATCTCACACGCTATTTCGGGACCGATGAATTGTTAATTTTTTTGTTAATTTTGACAATGAATAAACGTTAAAAAAATTCAGTGCTGATGTATCACGCGATCGGCGGTAAAGGAATAAAAAGAAAAAATAAGATAAGTGAAGTCCGCCAATTCGTAGTGGGGTCGCATGGTTGACTACACCCAAAGACCCTTTGAATATAGTGGGACATAACTGTATAGGCTATTACTTTACTTTGCTAGTATATTACCTAAATCAGCAACATAAGGTCCTTTTCTGTAAGTAACCACCCTACCCCCCACCCGATCTCTCCCTTCCAATATGACAACATCGCAGCCAAACGATTGCAGTTGACGCGCAGCAGCTAAACCTGATACGCCTGAAATTATCAAAAGAAAAAACTGCAATAAGTTTAACAAAATACGTTAATATGTAGACACGTTGATGTTCAACCTTTAAGCATAATTCAAATTACTAAATGTTCACTAGTAACCTTAAGTAATGCAGTTTCAAATAACCCCTTTCCAAAAGTAGTGTTTGTTCTCCATTTCGTCATAAAATATTTAATTTTTTTATAGCGCTAATCTCTATACTTAAGACTAAATATTAAAATTTGTAGAAAAAGTACGAAAAGATTGTCGCCGCTGTGAGAATCGAACCCACGTCTTCGGCATTCGCGCCCTGACGCTCTAGCTACTAAGCTTAACAGCTTGTTATATCCTTTCCAGCATACAAACAATTTCTGCTATCGTTTTACATCGATAATTCGAACGAGATGTCGCCATTGCTTTGTAGACATTAAATTTTTTATAGTGGTAATCTCTGCTCTTATTAAACATTAAAATTTGTAGAAATATGTTGTAAAAAAAATCTTGAGTGGAGAGAATAATAATGACATTACCTGCTCCGATGATGATGACTTTCGGCCTCTGTTTCCCTTTAGGAGGACTAGGAATTGGGGTTAACCGTTCATAGATGCCATAGTTTATAAAACCATGCCGCTCCAAAAATGCATGAGCTCTCATTATCAATGCTGGGTCGCCATTGTATGGTGGCTAAAATGAAAACCATAAATGTTTAGTACATTAATTCATTTTTGTTTATCTGAAAAGTTGTCAAGCGAGCAGATGGTTCACCTGATGTTAAGTGAATACTGCCACCCAGGGGTCAATACCTACAATGTCTACAACATTCAATGGCTTGCAGATGCATTGACAACCTTTAAAACAAGTGTGCCCCAGTTATCAAGTGAAGTAATCAGGTGAAAGGTGAAAGTTTAATATATCCACTTCACTCCATTCTTCTGTGAGGCCGTGGTACCTCCCCGGACGCATGTGCCCATTTGTCCAACAGCAGAAATGGTTGCTTGGCCCTACCATTACTGTGGTATTGTGTGGTGGTAATTTCTGCTGTTAGAGTGAAGTTACTTCTTGCACAATACTCATATTATGTCTCGAAAGTGTTAAACATCAATATTGAGTCAACAGGTGAATATAAGATAAAAGGATTGAATTTTGAAAATAAACACAAATAGTTTACATTTTTAGAATTTACGACAACAACTGTTTTACAGCCAGGATGTTACTACTGCTTTCGGGAATTTAAAAATGTAAAAGCCTATATAAGAAGTATTTGATAATACATTTAAATTTGCACTAACTGATATAATCATTTATTTAATTTTTATTAAATTTCATAATATCAGATAAATTAAATGATACATTTCAATACAAACATAAACTTTACCCATTGTTATAGTATTTTATTAATGTCACAATTATTATGTAGGTTTGATATACAGCGTGTCGTTACCATCGCGACAATAAATGAACACACGTCTAACGCTACTTGCCAATAATCATAAAAAAATGTTAACGTTAAACAAAATCCATAATTAAAAAAAAATATTTTTCAAACAAACTAATTAAGTAAAAAAGAAACAAAATTTGTAACATCCTATACAACTCGCGCCACAGCGTCGTATTACAAGCCTCTCCTTCTAACAGTATGTTTTGTCTCTTTTAAATTCATTCAACCCATTCATATGCTTTGTGACCTTTACAAATGAACTTTACGTTACGCTTTTATAGGTAAGGGTGTTCTAAAATTCTTTGTTTTGAAAAATTTAATAAATCTGTAAATACTGATGTTTAAATAATTTAAATGTTTAATACAACTTTAATAAGTTATCCCCTATACGTGTGTTCATTTATTGTTGCGATGGTAACGACACGCTATATAATTTCTTGGTATATCAAACGTATATAAACTAATGTCTAGACCTAGTTATATTTCAGGTTAATTGATTAAAGCTACATTAAACAAATATAAGAGAAATAAAAATAACAAGTCCAAGAATATATAGTTTCTAAAACCTAAAACCTAAAGTCCAATTACTAAGAAAATTAATGTTCTTCCTTCCTTCCTTGGGGATTCCTGTTATGTCATTAAAAATTTGGGGATTTCCTGTGTCCTAAGTTATGAAGGGATCAAAACTATTTAAAAAAACCATGGCAGTGCATCAAATAAGCATAAATGTAATACTTGCCTCCATTTTTTGCACACAAGCTTCTTGAGTTAACTGTTTTTTAGGATCTTCAAACCACAGTTTTAGAATGCGATTTCTTATCTGCACAAAAGCAATGCTTGATGGGCCCTGTAGATCGGAGAAACACTCTGCTTCCAATGATGACATTTTGTCAAATGGAAGTCTGGACTGAAATGCTGCACCCTCTAAACTGTAATTAATATATTTAATAAAAAGTTTCTTATTATTAAATATAAAATTGCAGTACCTAGTACAAGTTTAAATTATATCTAAAGGAATGAATAATCTATAAAATGAAATGAGCACACAGACACATATCAGAATCTTTGTAACATTCTATGTTAGTAACAATATATGAAAAGAATAAAGCAAAAATGTTTATTTAAAATAGAATTTATCAATTGTATTCAATGAACAACAAACTAATTTTTAAATATACTTGTATAACTATAGTAAGGGTAAGTAGATTTTATCTTAGTATCTAAATTATATGTTTGAAAAATCAGATAGGTTTGAGAAATATTGTAATACTACTTTAAAATATAATAAAATAATAAACATGGAAAAGAAAAAGCTAAAATACAAAGGATCTGAATTTTCTAAAATTATACATGGTTTGTAGGACACACCTATTCAGCATTTCTTTATAATTAATTTCTTCAATATCATCACTCTTTATTTCTTCTAAAATTACAGGTTTCTCCTCTTTCTTAGGTTCCTTATTTTCTAATGCCCTGGTAGTCGAAGACTCGCGCCGGGCACCAAACAATGTAGGACTTGTTGGAGTCATTTTAATTTTTTCAGACTGATCGGATTCTGAATCTTCTTGAATCTTTACTTTCTCATCCAAATCACGATTTTCAACCTAAGATAATAAACATAACCTTTATTTTAAAACCCAATAAATTACATACTTATTTATAAAATTAAAATTTATAAGAAACCCTATGTTACCTTTGTTCGCTTTCGCCGGCTCATTTTGTCAAAATAAGTATTGAATTATTGAAGAATAGTCCAAAGAAATACAGGACGCAGATGAGGAAATATAAACGTATAATTAATCAAAACAAACAGCGAAGTTTTAAACGTCAAATCAGAAATGTCAAATAGGGATGTCGAAATGAATAGATGTATCAATCTGTATTATTTCGAAAATATCAGACTTATAAAGAGAAGTTTTATAAGTATGTGGAAAATATGCAGGTTTCCTCACGATTTTTTCCTTTACCGCTGAGCACGTGATAATTCAGCACTGAAAATTGATAATTTCATTGGTGCTGGCACCGGAGATCGAATTCATTTTGCTCCAGTAAATTAAATTAAAGGTAACCGCCTGGACACCGAGCTATCACGGCTCTTAATTGTACTCAAATTCTCAATTAAATATTTACTCTTTTTATTTTATTTCTTTTATGTACAAGATGAAATCGATCTAAAATTAAATATTATCTAATAAACCTAATCCACGCAGCATGGTGCCAAGAGCTAGTTGCATTTCCTCGCTGAATCGTTATGCTTAACCTTTAATATAACTGTAAACTAACTTAATGTAACTGATCGTTGTCTCTACATGGAAAATATTTGAGAAAAACAATTATTGAGAGCCTTTATCAATTCACAATCATTTTTAAGTTTTTGTCTGTTTGTCTGTGCGTTTGTGAACCAAGCAAAGCGGCGGGTCGATATCGACCTGAACCGCACTAGAAGGGTTTTTTAGTAGTGATGGGAGGAAAATGAAACTAATATTACGGATTTATCGCGTTTATTTTTAATTTTAATTCCCGACGTTTCGAACCCTTTACAGCGTTCATGGTCACGGGACGGACTGAGGTGTTAAACGTCTGATTGTCATAGTTAACCCGGGCTACCGTCAGTTTTTGCACTATTAATTTTGTGTCCGTTCTATGGAGAGGGAGCTAATTGTATTTTGTCTTGCAGTAGTGGTTCGTTTGGGTCTAGATTTAATTTTATTGATGACAGGATCCTTAAAATTAAAAATAAACGCGATAAATCCATAAAATTAGTTTCATTTATAATGTGTAATCGCGTAAATACAAGAAATTATTATAGTCATGGGAGGCCCAAAAATAAGACGATGTCCATCCATACTGATATTACAAAAATGAATAGTTTGTTTTTTTAACTCGCTAATCTCACCGACTGCTGGTCCGATTTTGATGTGAGAAGTTGTCAAACGAGCAGACGGTTCACCTGATGTTAAGTGATACCGCCGCCCATAGACATCTGCTACACCCGAGGGTTTGCAGATTTTACCTTTTGAAAATTGGGTCCGGCCACCTCATCACCAGACGAAACGCGAAAGTTTTAATACTTTCACTCTACGCCGGTCTTCTGTGAGGTCGTGCTACTTCCCCGGACGAGCCTGCCCATTTTTGCAACAGCCAAGGCTGCTGCGTGGCCCTACCACCGTTTATGATTCTTGCACTGGATAGCCTATTTTATGAAAAAGTCTATAAGCTTTTTAAACGCGATATAAAATTTTATATATGCGGGCAGAGCCGTGGGCAAAAAGCTAGTATATAAATAGTTTACGACACATTTTTACACAATGCTCTTCTGTCCCAAAATAAACGATGCTTGTACTATGGGTTACTAAAAAACTGATAAACATACTTTTCTTTTATAAATAAATACATATTATACATACCCAGACACTGGAAAAGCACCATGTTCAACACACAGTATTTTTCCAGAAGTGGGGATCGAACCCACACCCCTGGGATAAAACGGTAAATAGCAAGAGGGTAGACGGGTTTTTGATTCTTACAGATGCCTCACAGAAGACCGGCGTGAAGTGGAATTGTTATATTCTTCGTTTCGTCTGATAAATGAGGTAGCCGGGCCCCACTTTATTTAAAGGTGGCAACACATCTTCAACCCTACGGGTGGCGCAAATGTCAATGGGTGGTGATTAGCACTTAACATCAGGTGCACAGATGAAAAATAAAAAGTAGACATGAATTTGGCGTGCTCTCTGTGTCATATCTGTAACTCAGTTTGAACCTAACCTTATACAGCGTGTCGTTACCACCGCGACAATAAATGAACACACGTCTAATATTAACGTTAAAAAATCCATAATTAAAAAAAATTCAAAAAAATAATTAAGTAAAAAAGAAACAAAATCTTTAACATACCTACTATACAGCTACAACTGACTGATTCATACATTAAGAGACTTTTTCTTTCGTCGCCACAACGTCACATTACAAGCCTCCCCTTTTAACAGTATGTTTTGTCGCTTTTAAATTCATTCAACCCATTCATATGCTTTGTGACCTTTACAATTGAACTTTACGTTACAGTTTTATACGTAGGGCTGTTCTAAAATTCTTTGTTTTGGAAAATTTAATAACTCGATAAATATTGATGTTTAAAGAAAGTAAATGTTTAATACAATTTTAAAAAGTTGTCCTCTATGTGTGTGTTCATTTATTTTATATTTACAGTAGTACAATATACCTATAAAAGCGTAACGTAAAGTTCATTTGTAAAGGTCACAAAGCATATGAATGGGTTGAATGAATTTAAAAGAGACAAAACATACTGTTAAAGATACTGTTAGACAAAACATACTGTTAGAAGGAGAGGCTTGTAATACGACGCTGTGGCGCGAGTTGTATAGGTTTTTTAGTTGTATTGTTACAAATTTTGTTTCTTTTTTACTTAATTAGTTTGTTTGAAAATTTTTTTTTAATTATGGATTTTGTTTAACGTTAATATTTTTTTATGATTATTGTCAAGTAGCGTTAGACGTGTGTTCATTTATTGTCGCGATGGTATCGACACGCTGTATATTAATAATCTAGGTCCGAAAATGATCATTGATCTATAAAAAAAATTTACGCGTAACGAACCTAACCAATCAATTTGAAGGATAATGTATGAAAAAAACACCCTATGTAAATTATTATCTGTAAACAGAAAGATTTTATAACATTTTAAATCCATAAGATTTTGGAAATAGACTGCATATTGGCATAAAGTCATTATCTTTGATGTGGTATGTTTTGAATGTGGCGGATTTCCTCATAGAAAATAACTATATTAATAGCTTTAATATTTTATTTACTCGAAAACTATAGGTGAACACTGAAATCTGCGTATTGATTAATTCATTTGTGATTTTTTTCTCTATCGTTCAAAATGATTTTAAACCCAATATCTACTGAGCAATTCAACAAGTGTGGCAATCAGCTTAGTGGCTACAGCGTCAGGCCGCGAATGCTGAAGACGTGGGCTCGATGCCCACAGCGGCGCCAATCTTTTCATACTTTTTCTACAAATTTTAATGTTTAATCTTAAGTGCAGAGATTAGCACTATAAAAAAATTATATTTCTAAAAAGCAATGGTGACCTCTCTAACTGAAAGGATAACAATAGATGCGCCAAGCATTGCTTCAAATGCTAAAAAACTATGTTGAAAAAAGAAGTTGAAATTTTCGTCGGTGTAGCAATTAGCCGTTTAGCTTAGTGGCTAAAGCGTCCTCGTGGCCACGAATGCTGAAGACGTGGGTTCGATTCCCACAGCGGCGACAATCTTTTCGTACTTCTTCTACAAATTTTAAAGTCTACATACATGTTTAAAATTACCCGAAATTTTCAACATATCATGTAGTCCCTATTTTTTTTTTATTTGTATACTAAACATTATGGCTTTAATTTGTAAATTAAAAAACTAATTAAATCTATTTTAGTAACACTGAGCAGGAGTTACAACTACAATTAAATTAAATATCAAATTGGTCAGAGGTCTTTATTCGTCATCCATGAAAGTGTCGCTATTTTCATATTTAAATTATGTAAGTAAGAATTTAGTAAGATTTCCGGAAATGACTATGTAAACTTTCGTCTGCATACCCAGCGATTTCTTGAGGTACAATAGCACTCTCCTCTATGGTGCCGCACGGACGACACATACATTCTAGAGGTGCCTTCGTTGTTACCTGAAAAATTATATATACACATAGATAATTATTTTTTTCAATTATGAACTGGCAAGTAGTTGATAAGCGCATTTGAGGAAAATGTGTAAGTGTTAACACAGCAGTAGTGGTAAACTTACTTTCGCAAACCTCTATAATTTAATACTTGTGTATAGCTAAGAGTTACGATTAATAATTAAAAATATTCAAACAATTTGAAACCTTTCGGAATCTTTTCTCTTCGCTCTTTGCCTTGGGACAAAATAATACCACTGTTGCTTCCCTTTCTCCAGATTCCTGACAACAATTACACGATCGTTCCATTTGCCAAATCTTACTACCAGATACCTAAAAATAAAAAATAAAATGTGGTTATTGTAATGAACATTACAAAATATCCGTGGTTAATAAGGAATAGCCTGACAAGTGACTCCTTTGCGCAATGTCCGATTTGAAATATCTTTGAAGTTATTTTTTATTACCATGTCTTGAATATGCTTTTAGAATGGCTTATTGACTTTTTTTCAAAATGTACTCTCTCTAATTCGAGCGTGGGACATCTGTTTTTAGAATTACGACAGTTCAACTGTTAAGGTACAGGCTTTTGTTAGACGGGTTACTTAAATATAGGTTTAGTGAAAATGAACAATCTTGCTCGAGGTAATAAAAGTACAGAATTAAATAATACTAGCGGACCCGACCAGGCAGACACACACAAATTTTCATTAAAATCGGTCCAGCCGTTTAGGAGGAGTTCAGTGACATACACACGTACAGAAGAATGAAATATATATAAAAGTTTTTACCTGAACATAACTCGTACATTTTCCGATGCAGGCATAAGACGGTATAGGTTTAGGGACACAACCAGCATGTTGTAATACGTGAATAACTGGTGTCATTTGACATTCTTGACCTAAAAAATAATGAAGTGCTAAAAACTTCAATATGATATTTTGCACTTCTTCTGGTGACTGCGACTGAACCATTTAAAGTTGAGGCATTCGCTTACCTAGGAGTGCTGTAGACATCCATGGACGACAATCACTTATCATCAGCTGAACTGTTTCTTTACAACTACTCCTATACGAGTAGAATGAAAATAAATACCTACACGGAAGGCGGTTGCAAATATGTTTCTTCTATTAACATAAACAATGTATGTGATCCCTTAATATTAAACAGATATTAAGTGGAATATGTCGTGTGTGCTATTAAATTAAAATTTTACGGTGGTAGAGCCACGCGGCAGCCTCGGCTGTTGCACGAATGGGCAGGCTCGTCCGGATAAGTACCACGACCTCACAGAAGACCGGCATAAAGTGGATGTATAATACTTTCGCGTTTCGTCTGGTGAGTGAGGTAGCCGGAGTCCAATTTCCAAAACGGTTGTCAACGCGTTATTCCCTAAACATCAGGTGAACCGTCGGCTCGTTTGGCAACTTTTCACATAAAAAAAATGATTTTACCTGGTGGCAGGTTCACCTCTTGCGCCTTTACTGATGTTTCTTTAAGAACAGAAATTAGAAGTATAACAAAACTAAAACGCAAGAAAAAAGATGCAATCATCTTCTTATGAAACTTATAATACTTAATTTCTATAACATTAAAGAGCGAAGAATGTCAGTGGAATGAAAAAACTGAGGGATGGCTCGCTTTATAAAGCCAAGGGAAAGCTCTCACACTGAGCTGAAATGCATGTTCTTACCGTCCAACATTAAAAATCATTTTCTTAGTCATGTAAGTTCCCCAACGACACGAACACCCGCTGTTATAATAGACCTTTATTATGCTTTTATGTATCTGTACACATTAGGTCGAAAGGAAAATTTGATATATTTTTAATAATTGCTTCACTTAGGAATTTAATTTTATTTTAGAATATTTTTGGAGGAAGATTAATTGGATGTTGTGATTATCTTGATGAGACCAGAGGGTGTGAGTTCGATCACCACTACGGGGTAAATATTGTGTGATGCACCTACTGTTTTTCCAGTGTCCCAGACACATGTTTGTTTATATATTTATAATATGTAATTATTTATATAAGAAAAGTATGTTTAAGCTACGTTTATCAGTTATCTATTTTGGGACAGAGAACGTTGTGTAAAAATGTGTCCTAAATATTTATTTATTTCTTGCCGCCACTTTCACCACCGCTCAGTTACTAGAACACCTGACGGGTTGCAAGTTTTGACGTTTCTCCTAATGAGTTCGGTAACCAGAGTCCACTTTTATAATGTTGGCAAATTTTGCCAACATTATAAAAGTGGACAAAAGCATAAAAGTGGCAAATTTTGCCAACATTATAAAAGTGGACCCTGGTTACCGAACTCATTAGGAGAAACGTGAGAGTACAATACATACTTCCACTTCACACTGATCTTTTGCAAGGCCGTGGTCTGCCCATTCGTTGAACAGCCGTACCTGATGCGTGGCAGTCACTAATAATTCTATAATTGTACCATAAAAAATAGTATTTAATTTCTTATTATGTATCTCTGAAATTATATTAAGCAGTATACTTAAATGACTATTTATTTGTTTACCTATGCTAGACCTTAGTCGCATCACAAGTTGTGTCATAAATATTTATTACGAAATAATTAAAAAAATCTCCTATCTGTGCGGCCCTTGGAACGTTGTCGTGCGAGTCCGAGTGCGAGTCCACTATTAATCGATTGTCTTGATTGATTGGTTTGTGAGGACTGTATTTTGATGCACAACTGCATTAGTTTTCACGTCTTTCTAACAAAAACTTACCTCAGTTAAGACCGAATATAAGGCTCCCGCCATGACTGAAACCAAACCATAAGTAACGATGGAAAATGTCTTCCCTAGATACGCGGAATGGGGTTCTTCACTGTTGTGGGCGTACACCTTGTTATTTTTTTGATCCTCCAAGGCTCCTGGGCAGTTTAATGTTAGTCAAGAGCTAAAACTTCGAACTTTCAACCTCTGCCAGGAAGTCCTTCTACATCGGTCCATATAACCAACACGTCTTGTTTCTTGATTTGCATTTCTCGGCTACTTACTTTCTTTTTCGGGGTAAAGAAATAGTCCATGACAAAGAGACGATGTTGGACCGTCAGGCTGTCATCAGGAATGACTTTATTGATAATATTTTTATATTATAATAATTTGTTTATATATGTATTTATATGTTTATATATGAAATATGAATTTATTTACACGATAAGAGTATGTTTTAAGTATGTTTATCAGTTTTCTAGTAACCTATATATAATATAGTACAAGCGTTGCTTAGTTTGGGACTAGAGAACGTTGTATAAAAATTTTCCCCAAAGCTCAGAGGGCCCTCTAAGCTTTGAAAAGATAGAAAGATTTTTTAATGATGTTAAATGAACATTTACAATAACGGAACAGAAGACTTTCAATACAGCATGTAGCTTTGATAAGCATATGCTACTCTAAGCGTCTTTGATAAGCATAATACGCTATTTTTTACCGTTATTTGATTCAGTAAGTTTGTAGCACATTGGATCAGCGATAAGTTTACGTGCTGACGGTGTTGAGATTAATTCCACCCGTCAATATACATATGGTATACCATAAGCTCTACTTGTTAAGTTTCTCGCAAGTGCGGGACTCGAACTCAAATCTTCCGGATTCGCTCCCAGACCCTGTAACCACTAAGCTAAACGGATGATTGTCACACAAACCAAAAACTCAACTTTTTAAGGCAATTTTGTCGCAATTTAAGCAAAGCTATGTATTGTTAGGTGTATCCTTTACAGATACGAGAAATTTCAGATATCGTTTTACAACGATAATTCTAAAGTGAGATGTCACCATTGTAATCTGAAATTTAAATTTATTTATAGTACTAATCTCTACACTGAAGATAAGACGCAGCTAAAAGAATCTTTCGCCCTTTTCTGTTATTGACTCATCTGTATAATAAATACTTTATATTGTCAATGCACATTGTTTTCATATTCCCATTACATTCACATGTTCTGCAGAGTTAAAAAAAAACAATAGGTAAAAGCCCGTTTATGCCCTTTGCTTTCAAAGCCTTGATGTCCATACTGTCACTTAAGGAGAATGAAAGGTCTTCGATGTTTTAATTTAAGGTTTCTCTACACCAGTCTTTATCTCCAATTTTATCTATAGACTTCGTAAGAAATAAAAATTTTATTTAAGTTTGCGATGTTCGAGCGGTTTAGGAAGGTTTTTCTCGGGCAAATAGCTTGTGGAAAGGCGGGGATTCCACGATATTAATAGGCTTAAGTAGCAGAGACAAGCATATTGACATGCGTGCATTAACATAGTGAAGGTATTGATGGCTACGGACCATCGTAGGGCAGCATGCGGACCGTAACATAGGCAACCATGAATTATTTTTATTTATACATTACTGCAGTTATCTTTAACAAGGATTACAAGGCACAAACTAATGCCTTTTGGCATTATCTCCCAAATGAGACCAAGACTTAATTTTTTTAAGGTGTCCGTTAAAATTAGGGATTACAATGGTGAAAATGGTGAAAACGGGCATTAGCCATGCTTATTTGACAGATAGTGAAAGAAAAGTACATTAGATGAAGAAAGAATAGTGGATAAATTCAGGACATTCGAGAAGACAATGATTGGTTGAGCGATTTATTTATTTATTATTTTTTGCAATTACCTTAAAAAATGATAACAAAGAGCAACATTAGCCTTTTGGCATTCTCTTCCAGTCAACCCGGCCCGGGGCGTGATGAAAAATCTTGGTAGGTGCAATTTTTACATTAAATTAAGATCCTTATTGTGTACGGTACAAAGGTATTAAAAGTGGAGAGATAATACAGATGGAGTGGACGAAGAATTCAGGAAAGAATAAAGTGTTGTCAACGCTCTTTAAGACCCACGTCTTTGACGAATAGGTAACCATTGTAGTTGTGAGCGATAGGAAGACACATAGTGTGACACACTTGCAAAGATTAAACGAATCGAATGGAAATATTCAGAAGTTTATTGAACTGATCTTCATCTAGGTCAAAGTAGCGCACATTATTATAGACGATTATAGCGGATATTAAGGCCTGCACGGGCGTTGCTACATGATCTTAAGGACATTAGTTTTAAGGGAGAAAGCTAGATAGATTCAGTCTGAAATGAACACGGCTTAATTCTTCCATTATTTATGTGATATGTCGGTGACTAACTTAGCTCCTAAGATCTAGGATCTAGGTAGGCCTATCTTCTTCCCACAAAGGATTGGTTGAAAGATCATTTACTCCAACTTTCTACCCTGGCTCACATAAATTATTGGATGCTTTTAGTTGCTTTGTTTTTAGTTTGCTTCGTTGGTTGATTGCTCTCTGTTTTAATTGGTTGAATTAATAAAACATTATAACAGTTACGAGATTAGTAAGATTTATTTCAGTCCAATTACAATATTTTTAATCCAAGCTTATGTTTCTATATTCGTGTAAGATCATCTTATTCAGATGACGAAAGACCTAGACCAGTTTTAACACTATATTGCCAAATATGTCTACATAACTAATTATAAAATGGTATTTGTCAAAGTCAAGTGAGAGCGACCACGTTCGGTTATTTCTGCATCAATATTTTTTTTAGATTTTTATCGACTGAAATCTCCGCATTTGTAGCATTTGCATTCGTCGGGTTCTCGTAAACGGACTTCCATCGTGGCGCTGTCTTCGTCTTCTAACCTCAAGCCGTCGGGATCATAACAATGCGTAAGTGTTACCACGCGTTCCCGGAGATAATTCTCCCTACAGCAAAAGCATTCCTGAAATCAAATATCGTTTCATGAGAATGGAGCAATATAACATAAAAAAAGTCCTGTTTATTTTTAAAGTGTAAAATATTATTTGTCATAATTATATCTCTTAATTAAAGCATGTGTGTACAAGATGTAGCTGAGAAATCATAGTTCGTGGGCGCATCCGACCTTAAATAACAAGCAAGCCATTAACATTAGTAATAAATACTCATATATAGCGTGTCGTTAGAAGCCTCTCCTTCTAACAGTATGTTTTGTCTCTTATAAATTCATTCAACCCATTCATATGCTTTGTGACCTTTACAAATGAACTTCACGTTACAGTTTTATACGTAAGGCTGTTCTAAAATTCTTTGTTTTGGAAAATTTAGTAACTCTGTAAATATTGATGTTTAAAGAATGTAAATGTTTAATACAATTTTAAAAAGTTACCCTCATCACACATATATGTGTGTTCATTTATTGTCGCGATTGTAAAGACACGATAATAAAATATACGATACGAATATATGCTAATATACAGAATATAATTATATAATAGCACGAATTGGTACAGTACCTTAAGAAAACCTGTAGCAGTTACCACAGACGGTTGAATTTGACTATTGCAAATTCCTTCGCATTTATTAACAGTAACTTCGCCGCTACACGATCTCACTAGGGAACCCAATTCGTCATATTCCTCTGTAAAATGAGAGAACTGTAAAGAAAGTTTTATCCTTTCCCAAGTTAGCTGTTGATGTTGGCAAAGCAAAACCATGTTTATTGAAGTTTTGCTTCTTTTGGCCGGTTTGGAAAAAAATATGAGAGTAACATTTTTAGATGCGCTCGCACACCGACGGCTAAAAAGCGACAAGATGAAGTTGGACCATGACAACCAATAACAGCGTTTTTACATTTACCGGTAATTCCAAGTGTCATGTTTTTTTTACAAACAGAGAGTACGGGCACAGTGGACAAAGATTTTAGTTATTTTCATTTTGTCACGTGTGTACATAATTACACACATGTTTTTTAAACAGAATTATTTATATTCAACGTTGGACTACTGCAGGATGTTGATGATTTTAAAGTCTTTGACTATCAAAGCAAATCTTTTCTATGATTAAACAAAACAATTTAGATCTACCGTTACAGGACCATGCAGCAGCTTCTTATGTTACACAAACAGGCAGACTCATTTGTGGAAGTACCACGGCCTTTGACTTTTGGATTTTCGTCTAATGATCTTAATCTTAATAGGGCCAAAACTTTCACAGACAGTTGTAGATGTCTACGGGGCGGCAACTATCACTTAACAATGTGAGCTAGCTTGCCACCTTTTCAAATAAAAAAAAATTAATGGCGCTGGTACTAACATCGGAATAATTTATCTTACCTTTCGTTACATGTATTTCAGTTGGAAAAGTTTCGCAGTTTTCGTCTGCTACGATTAAAATTATATACAATAAAAAGTTAACTGCGTAAAGGAAAAACCGGTTATGATTGACAATTGACATTTTTAAAGTATGTGAAATAATGTACTTTACTGGCAGTAACAGTGCGACTGTGTTTCTCTAAAAGCAGGATGGTGCTTTTATACAAAAGTTCCTACTAATGGATATTTTCCCATACAACATTCTCACTATTTGATGAGCAGCGGGAGACCAGTACTCTAAGTAAAAATGTCTGTTTTCTCAGCAGTGCGTTAATTATTTGAGCCATAAAGAATATCATATTATATTTTTAATCCGGTTTTTAAATAAAATGATTATGTATTTCAAGCTTGTATAAAATACATGATCCCATTTTTTTGAATCGAGATAGCTAATCTTCCAAAGATCTTGTCATTAATAAAATTAAATCTTAGAACCTACAACATCTCTATAAGAACTCAAGATACAGTTAATTGTTAATTGCGTGCTGTTAGATGCAGCGTTGATCAGATTAAAATTATGTTTAGTGATTAAAAAATACACCTTAATTCGTTAAAGAAAACGTTTTATCAATAATAATTCATTAAGCGTAGACGAGCCGTGATAACTCAGTGTCCGGGCGCTCGCCTTTAATTCAATATACTCAAGCAACGTTGAGTTCGATCCCCGGTGCCACCAATAAAGTTTTTAACTTTAAGTGCTGACTTATCACGTACTCCGCGGTGAAGGAAAACATCGTGAGGAAACCTGCATATTTTCGAAATAATAAAAAAAAATTCGAAGATATGTGTCCGCCAATCCGCAGTGGCGTGGTGGACTATGCTCTGATACCCTCTGTATAGTGGAGGCCTTTGCCCAGCAGTGGGACATATATAGGCTGTTACTTTACTTAAAGCGTAGACTATGTCTTTTGCCGTAATGAATCATAAACGTTTTCTAAATAATAACAAAAACATTAAACGATAGGTGAAGTCCGCTAATCCGCAATGCCGTCGCGTGATGGACTATGCTCTAATACGGGGGGAAAGTACAGCGCGGAGGCTTTTGCCCAATAGTGGGACATACATATGTATGTCCTATATTTACTTTAAGTGTACTAAACATTTTACACACTTTATACTTATAGATTTTTTGCCTCACCCCCGTTAGTGACCTTTGGGTCATAAACTTAACGTCCCTGACTCTCTGTACTACAGTTGCGGATGGATAGAAAAGCGCTAAAGTATCCTTTACCTACATGGTAATTATAAGGAGATTACTTTTGTCTAAGTCTGTGGATTACTGGTTTTTTGAGAATGAATCCGTTCCAGACACTCGTGTCCTATTTTAATATTTACACATTTTATTGCATAACTAAATAAACTAATAGCTTTAAACAATGTAATAAATTTAGAAAAAAAAATCAAGATAAAATTGAATTTGAAAATAGGCACAAGATAAAATCGATGTCGAATTCAAGGTGGTGTCTGATAATTTACTCAAGAAGTTTAATTTCGTATCAAGTATCTTTTACGGCTTACAACTGCAAAAAGTCTCCATCTATAAGCTGAAGCGGGAAGAAGTGAACAAATGAAGTTTCAACAAAATCGAAGAAAATCCATGCTTCTGGGTAACATTTTGTAACGCACTTTGCCTATTATTTGTCCTAAAAATTATGGAATATGGATTTTATAAAGCCAAAGAGAAACCTTTACTCAGGTCGCTACAGAGATAGAAAAAGAGGAAATTTGCTTGTGAGCACTTGAACTTGATGGCTAACTAATGGCGTCAAATAACATTTCGTCATAAATCCAAATTTCAAAAGTACAAAAATGCTAACAAGTTCAAAAACAGCCTTAAAACGAAAATAACGACCGTCTGGAACTCAAGTAAAGGAGGCACTGCCAAGTGACAGAACTAATTTGCGTGAACAGCCGAACGTTTATGCGTTAACGTTGGTGGAAAAACATTTTTAAATTACAATAAAGATATACTTTTGCACCATACAGTTCCTTCGTTGTTGGTGTTATGAGTGTGGTTTGTGTGACAGCCGCTTGCTGAATCGTGCTCGTAACAGTTACGGGAATTTATATTTCCGTCCTAATTTGTCAAGGTAGAGGAGGGAAAAGAATGAAAATAAATAAATTAATGTTACTTTTGCATGACAATGCTTCTTTGCACAAAATCAAACTTGGATGGGCAGTAGATTTTGTCCGGAGCAGGGACCAATTCTCTTTAGGGAGTTTAAGGTGATGAAAGAGATTAAGGACGCATTTTTTATCATATTTTTTTAAACAAACACGATTTTTTTTTAAATATATTTCCTTTAAATTAAGTGTAAGGTCTTCAAAATGTAAAGAATTTTGTCAAAATTGCCATACTAAATTTTTTACAACACTTTTTGTAACTGTAAATCGTACTCATAAAATAGGAAATCTCCGAGTTTATAACATTTTGTTATTTCTATGATTTAATTTGTAAAAGACACAATGAAAGGTAACAATTACACTAACGAATAATTCTAATAAGCTATATTTTTGATTGCAACACCTCTAAGTGCTAAAGTCTCAATCAATACTTCTCTCTCACTCTCTCTCATCTTCTCAATGTGACTTGTGAGTTGTCAGAATATCAGATTGTCATCTTCAGGTTCAATATCAATTTGAGCGTTAAAAAATCGTACGACTTAACCTATTTGGTACATAATATTTCTTTAATTTTATCTAATTAATTTGGTATATTCTATAATGGCTATAGATGAAGACCTGATTGTTTGGCTAATTTTATTATTTTCATGGAGTGAATACGCATGGGAACAGTACCTATCCTTGCGGCAGGTAATTGTTTTAAAGATTTGTATCGATTTATTGATTGATGTTTTATTTTTAAATGTCTATGAACTATGCAGACATATTATAACAATTTTCTTTACTTATTCTTTCGGTGGTTTTATGATGGCCTACCGTGTTCTGTTGTTTACTGTCTACTGTTCTTGTAACTTATTGATAGAATTTATATATTAATAACCTATCTGATAATAACTAGTAAAATAAAAATAACAATACTAAATAAACAATTTTATGCCTGAGAGATAAACTGCTTATTAAGTAATAGGAATTTAATGCGAATTTAATTAATATTTCAGTTAAATATATATCAAACTAACAATACCATACCAGATGATTTAAAGGAAATGCTCACTGAAGAAACATTTAAAAAAGCTCGTCTTTATGGAATTGATAAATCCAAGTTCAAAATTGTTAAGGAATTCTACAGTATAGCTCTAATGTCTGTAATACTATACAATCGTTGGATATATGTAGCATGGCAAAAATCAGAGACAATTGCAGGTTTTTTGAATATCACACCAGATCAAGAAATAATTATCAGTTGTGTATTTATGACCTTTGTGACATTGTTTAATTTCTTTGTCAATATGCCCTTTACAATTTATATGACATTTGTATTGGAGCAGAATCACGGATTTAATAAACAAACGTTGGGATTTTTTGTCAAAGATCAATTGAAGTCATTGGTGCTTAGTCTTGTTATTACTTTGCCAATTATATCTGTAGCAATATATATTATCATGTTGGGAGGCAACATGTTTGTAGTTTGGTTGTGGCTGTTTACAACAGTAGCAACCTTGTTACTTTTGACACTTTATCCAACTGTAATTGCACCATTGTTTGATAAGTTTGTTACACTTCCTGATGGCTCACTGAGGAAGGGCATTGAAGATTTGGCATCCAAACTACACTTTCCCCTATCACAGATATATATTGTGGAAGGTTCCAAACGCTCGGCACATAGTAATGCATATTTTAGTGGGCTCTTTGGTGCAAAGAGAATTGTTCTGTTTGATACATTACTAGAAAAACATGATGAAGAGAAGAAGAAAACCACTGGTTGTACCAACAATGAAATATTAGGAATTTTGGCTCATGAACTTGGTCACTGGAGTTGTAGCCATATCTACAAGTCAATTGCTCTGACAGAAGTTAATTTGCTGTTACTATTTACAGCATTTGGTTTATTGTTTAAATACTCAATGTTGTATACCTCTCTTGGTTTCCCAGCTGGACAAGAACCCATAATAATTGGACTAATAGCCATCTTACAAATGATTCTAGCTCCATATAACTCATTGCTGTCATACTTTTCTACAGCATTGTCTAGGAAATTTGAATTTGAGGCAGATAATTTTGCAGTTTCATTAAACTACCCAAATGAACTTAGATCTGCACTTATAAAACTAGGAAAGGACAATTTAGATTATCCTATTTATGATAAACTTTATTCAGCATGGTACCATTCACATCCAACTTTGCTGCATAGAATTGAGAACATTAAAAGCAAAAGTGCTAATGAGAAGAAAGACTAGCTGACATTGTTTTATTGAAAAAATGTCAACCCACTATTGCATTTTATACAGTACAAGTCTATATTTAATACTTTTTATATCTTTGCAATTTACTATTTTATGTTACTTACTTTTTATGTAGTGTTCAATGATAATGAAAAATAATTGGGTCAAATTACCACAGTTATCAAAAAAATTGAAAGAATCTTATTGGCCAAAAGTTTAACAGGCAAATAAGTCTTTCTAATGGTGAAATTGAATATATACCTTATCTCAAGCAAATCATGTTGTACAGCATAATAGGTTAGTTATTGTGATCTCCGATATTCATGTGAATTTTAGTCTAAAATGTTGTAATCAATGGAACTTGTATTTTTTTAAGAGACCTTTTTAATACCTTGCTTAAGTTTGGCACTGTGGCCATGTAACAGTATAATAATTTAGTAATATAAAAACATTTTTGTAAATAAAATGTAGAGCACAATTTTTACGTAAGTGTGCAACAAACATCTTTATATGGGCTACAAAGATTAAACTTGTATTAAATAATTTTTACTTCTCTTTTCATTTTAGTCACCCTACTTATTTGGCCAATTGACAATATATTTTTTTGAATGTAATGGTTTTTTTTATTATCATACAAATAACACATTTTAATTATATTTTTAAGAACTTATATTAGGAACATATAAAACGCATTATGTTATTAAATCAGTGTATAATTATAAATTAAAAGGTAAGAAATATTGCAAGCTCTTGAATAAAAAAATTTAAACAGCACATGTATAGAGTTTATTATATAGCAGACATTTGTAGACTTATGTAACGTAAGACGAAACTTAGGTTTCACGGTTCGATTGGTAGTTCACGGTTAGAAAGTTCTATTAAAAATTTATACATTTAAAAAGGTCCTAAGCGTTAAAAGAATTAAATTTAAGAATACAGCTTTATTGATAGGCGTGTTAAAATAATTTATATAAAGTTTTCAGCTTCCTCTAAAGTGTCGGGGAGTGGATGATTAATTGTTTCCGGTAATGGTAGTATAATTAATATTTGAGCTAATGAAATAACTATAAGTAGAAGTATAGGTAGACCTGGCTTTAAAACATCTAAATTAACAACAAGCGGTGCTATCATAGAAGCAACACGAGCAAATGTAGCAACACCGCCAACGCCTATGTTCCGTCCTACCGTAGGAAATAATTCACCGGAAAATAAGTATAATGCTGGAATTGTACCCTGAAAAGATAGGTAAATACATTAGACAAGAAATAAAGTAATAAACTAGAACTGATCATTTTTTATTGTCATTCGTGTCGCAATTCATGAATTTTTAGATATTTATTTTAACCAGTGCCCATTTAGTAAATAGATTTACCAGAAGCCCCCAGCTGCTAGAGGTAGTACTGGAAAAAATATTTCTACCGCTAGGTATTTAAATGTGTTCTTTATCGCAATCCGATAAAGTGTAGTAAAATATTTCTTACTGTAACAGTTTAACGTAAAAACACAAGGAAAATATTACTCAATTAGGTACTGAATTTTATTAATCAGACAACAAATATACCGGTTGTTCGAAAACGTTGAGTTGACCCAAAGAGGCATAAACTGTAGTAAGACTATATTATCTAAATACGTGTAGTTAGATGTAAGAAAGCGGTACTTTACGGCGTGTACTTTTCCGTTAGCCGGGCGCAAATGTTTAATTTTACTCTTTCATGCACTCTAGTCAGAACTCTTGCTATGTCACCGCTGAGATCTCCAACGCGAGCTTCTGGCTTCGCACTATATTCACTCTAGGAAGACCACATGGAATTGGAGCGCTTCACTACATAGAATAAAACAAAGTCGTCCCGCTGTCTGTCCTTATGTATGCTTCGATCTTTAAAACTACGCAACGGATCTTGATGCGGTTTGTTTTACTAGATAGAACGATTCAAGATGAAGTTTTACATGTATAATACATAGCACCCGTGCGAAGCCGGGGCGAGTCGATAGTTGGTGATAAATCGATCTAATTAAGTTTCATTTTTAGAAAACGTCGTTTTTTCCGTGTTTTCATGAAAAACTGCTACAATAACATTAGAATACGAAGGTAAATTTCGATGTGGTGGCGAAATTTACCTTCGTATTCTATATAGTATCTATACGAGGTTATAATTATAGCTCATGTGTGAAATCGGGCTATTCCGTAACCAGAAAACGCCGGTTTGAATCCAGATGATTCTTTTACCTCTTTTTTCAGTTCCTTTTTTAGTGTGAAAAAACTTTAAATGATATTTGCGTGGCTAACGAAAAAGTACCAAAAAGCATACTTTTCTTCTACATTTGTGTATCATTTATCAATCTCCTAATAAATTAATACTACGGTCTCTAGCTACAATCATACTAAATATGTACTTAAAATCTTAAAAAAACGTCAAGCAGCAGCCTTAAAAAAGATGGCTGCTGATAGGTTTTATTTTCTCAAACGGTGGAACATTTTGTACTATATTGCCACTAGTAGCAGAATACCATTATTTCTTGTTTGAACTATTGCGGCAGAATAATAAAAAAGTCTACATGCGGTATGATAACTGATGCGTCGGAATGGTGAAACCTTCTCATTCGTTAACCATTACAAATATCGTGTTTTTAGATATTGGACGCTTTAATGAAGTAGCATTCAGATGCCTTTATATTCTGTACTAGCTTTTCGCCCGCAGCCTGCAGTTTTATAATATTGCGTCTCGCACTTGGGCGGTTTACAAGCTATAATATATAGTATTACAAGCAGCATCAGCAGCAGGTCATCATTTTACAAGCTATAATATATAGTTTACTATAGTTTCATTCAATTCAACTGTAGCTATTATATAGCATTTTATCGCACAAATCTTCAATATGGTTCTTTAAGTTGATATAACTTTTTTATTTATGAACCGATCTTAATAAAACTACCACTAAATGGTAAGTGAAGCTTACTCATTGTTTTGGGTTCTATTGCGTTGAGAAAGGCCCCCGATAATAGTTTTTCTCGAATATCTTCCATGTGCCTACAGACAACGATCAGTTACATTTTTATTATATGTGTAGATTATCTAATAGTAATACCGGTGCTGTGAAAACTTACGTAACGTATTTTTGTCCAAAACTTACCGCCATAGCTGCGAAGCCGAGCCCGGCAAAAGTTAATATCAATATCTCCTTCGCATCATCTTCTTTTGGAATAATAAATATTGCAATGAAGCAAATAGTAGCAATTATTTGGAATACATTTAATGTTGTTTTCCTTCCTGCTCTTGCTATAATGAACAAGCAACATATACCGCCGGGGATCGAAATAATACCACTCATTGCTACGTTAAGAAATATATTTCCTCCAATTAACCCAAGATATTGGGAGAATGTAAAGAATGATAATCCAGTGAAAAACCTAAAATTATTAAAAGTTTCTTTCAAAACTATAAACATCAGCCATTAAACCATTAATAATACTATGGTCCTTTGTGCACTCCTATATGCCTAATTAAGCCGAAGCAATAGCCTAGTCATTTTCTTCAATGATACTATATACAAACACGACGTATATAATTATGACAAAAGCTCGCTGAAACTAAAGCATTCAACTTACGGCAATATATATATATACGACGATATAACAACACCGAGCGAATGAGAACGTCTGTCACAGTTTGCCATAATTACTTAATCATTATACAGGTTGGCCTTTATAAAGGTGCCCAAATTCACACAGGAGGTTCAGGGTAGTATAATCGCTTATTGAAATAAAAACAAACTTTTTTTTTTTTCAATAAAATTGCCATTCCATTCCCTAAAAACAGAACTTTGACACTGCGGTAGAAATTCATTTATGAATGATTGCGCGTAAAACCAATAAGTTTGCCATAAATCACGCACTTTTTGAGATAGGTTCAAATGAATGTATTTAATAACGAGTGATTTTAAATATTTACCATTTTTATATAACATTGTTTATGTCTACAATTTAATTAAAAAAATGGATACACTTAGAAAAGCCTCCCTGTTTCAAATGCCGAGTTGTGTATTCAGAAAGTGTAAAACTATGGATCAAAAATAAGGAAAGTTAAAGGAATTTCATACATCACGCAAGTACATAAAAATCACAAAATTTATTTTTTTGTTATAAAACTGATTAAATATAACCTCGGTAGCATTCGTCATAATAAATAAGTTAAAAGTTTAATTAATACATAAGGGACTAAAGGTATTGTGTACCAATTAATTGAGAGTAGAAATGTTTTTCGTCTCATATTTTTAGATCTTACGAAATCCAAGAATCCCAAACTAAGCTTTTGGTCTTCTCTTGTTTTAGGCAATGAATATACCAAATCAGAGATTTCCCTTGTATTCATTTTGTTTTCTCTTGCAATATTTTCCAGTACGTCTGTAGAAATTATCACAATTTAAAGTAGCACTTACTTTAATAAAGAGTATTAATATTGTATTTTTTCAGAAATTTAAATTGTTTATAGTGCTAATCTTTGCACTTAAGATTGAACACTAAAATATGTAGAAAAAGTGCGAAAAGATTGTCGCCGCTGTGGGAATCGAACCCGCGTCTTCGCACTTTTTCTACATATTTTAATTGTATTTTTTCAGTTTAATTAATTCAAATTTATCATCCGAAGGAAAATATCATTGTTGAACAAAAGCTTCGAACATCGTTGCCATTTGTATCCAACGTTTGCCTGTGACTCTTACGATGTCGTTGGTCTACTTTTTGGGTGTCCTTCCACGGTTTCGCTGCTACGTCTTCCGGTTGTGATCACTAAATATTATCTTTATCTGAACCTATCTCTATTATCTACGTCTTTACTTCGTAAAATATTTTTACCGGTACGCCGTACAAAACCATTAACAGTTTTCAAATGTCCGATTCCATTACCTTTCAGTATTACAATTTAACACAAGCACGAGCAAGAAATATCAAAATAATATTATACTAAATACTGTAATATTTCTCCTGTGTACCTATAGCTTTTTCAGTTTCCCCGGTAGCTAACAACCATCTAGGCGATTCCGGCACCCAAAACCAATAAAGTAAATACAAGGAAGAAATGGTTGCCAAAGCAAACTCCAGTTTCCTCCAATCTCTTAACCAATATGCTAAAAGCGCCAATACAGCATTTCCGAACCCAAACGGCAGTTGATACAACACCGGAATGATGGTCCTCCATTTTCCACTGACTACCTTCAAAATTATGGAATATGTACGGAACGTAAAAAACGAGTGGCTATATAAAAAAACACGAAATTAAATTTTAATACATACCTCCATACATATGACAAACGATATAATCGCATTACCGCCACAGCCTAAGGCTAATATAAACCGGTTAACAAGAAATAACCAAAAACATGGTGAAATGGAGACTAGATAGCTACCCAACGTTTGAATGAATAAAGTTATTATTAAAGGCTTTTTGCGGCCATATTTATCAGCTATGGCTCCAAAAACTATGCCACCGATTACTATTCCAGTCATAAGGACGCATTGAGTCATCTGCAATTTAAAAAAAGACATGTTATTTTAAAATGGTGGTATAAAAAATTACCATTTAATTTATTCAATAGTATTACTTGACAGGAGTCATATATTGCCCGAACTGGTGTTTCGAAGCAAATGAGTTTGTTTAATACAGTGATTCCCAAAGTGGTCTATATCGACCCCTAGGGGTCTATGACAACTTGCAAGGGGTCTACGTCAGCGAAAAATAATTTGGGGGTCCATGAAATGAAAATGGGGGTCCATGAAATGAAAATGGGGGTCCACGATAGTGGATCTCAACACATACACTGATAGTACCTATTTACTTACATCATACTATCTTACTACGATCTTAATACGTTTATTCGTTTCCTGAATCTTGAAAGTGCTAAGAAAATATTTTAAAAAATATTTATTTTACAACATTAAATAACAGATACAAAATTTTATTTAGAGTAGTTTTAATGTAAATTCAATTAATAAATGTATAAATTAACATGTGTTTTTACTTTAAGTTTTTAACACTAAACTTCACTACAGTTAGAAATTTACAGGAAATCAATATCAGGTAAGTAGGGGGTCTAACCAACACGGAAAAACATGGCAAGGGGTCTACGACACAAAAAAGTTTGGGGAACTCTGGTTTAATAGATCATGTAAAAATCGATACGATTAAATCTATCCTCGTGTTCGCCAAAATTCTAGTACAAATTTTGTGCAAGCCATAAAATGTACGCTTCAAAACAGTGTACCTATATCAAAAAAATGTTTTACTTCACTCCTGTCCCAGTATTGTATATTATCATTACTTAACATACAAAAATTCAGAGGTGTATTTTCATTATAACGAGCGCTGTTCATTTAATAGGGAGACTTTTATTTCTTTGCTTTGCAAAAAGCGAAATCCCCTCCATTATCGATCATGTACATATTCAAGTAGCATGGTACAGTTACCAGGCGGGCTATGGCTTAATGCAATCTGTAAATTGCTCATAGTGAAGAATGAACGAGATAATAATATATGAATTTGTAATATGTATTGTATAATTGGTAATAATATACGAAATAATTATCAACGATTGAAAACGATAATATTATCAGCATTCACGCATTCCTGAAAACTTGGTATTAATTTGAAAAAATACATACATGAATATACCAATGTTTGTCGCATACTAGATTAAAATCCGATGTTATTGTTCGCATAAATGAAGATCGATCATAGACGAAATTTTGACATAACACCAGAGGAATAAGCAATCTATCCATTGTTGGGGCCGTGGCCAGAATGTCGGGGTCGAAAATGAGACATGGGTATTCCATGATATGCTAAAATAAACAAAATTTATTGAATATTAGGTAGGTACATTCTGATAGACATAGGATTTATTCTTAGTCTTAGTGCTAATCTGCATTCGAGATGAAATTTAAATGTGAGTTTAATAGGCAAAATTTAAACCTGCACCCAGATGCTCAAACCAACTAATATTTTTCAATCAGTAACGTCAGACCTGCAAATACCAATCCACAACATTGGTATTTTATTGGTATATTAAACATTTCTTAATATTATCTTATATTAAAATCTTACCGGTTTACATATTTTACGCCATTCATAGTCAGAATACTTTGCAAAAGATTCGGGCTTAGCACACCAAAACTGTTGTGGTGGTGCCATAAATATTATGTTCAATTGGTACCACGCCAGTGGCAATTTTAAAAGAGACATGAGAAAACTTATCTTTAACTGCCATCGCCCAAAATCTCCAATTATTTTACTTGTTAAGCTGTCAACATTAAGTTTTTCTAGAGACGCATAAGTATTCTTGTTATCTTTAAACATTCTTACGGTTTGTTACAGCTCAAATTACATTAAAATTACGTTATTTAACCCTTACTATTTTTAATTGCCCGTCTTAGATATCGTTATTGTTGCAAAACCTGTAAAATGGCATTTTTAAAATGAAAATTAATAGATAGATAGGTTTTTTTTAATAATGACAGGTAAACAGAAAATTCTTAATTCATTGCAGGTCCTTGTTCTATTCCAAGATCCCAGGACTGCCAGACCATGTTTTTTTCTTTAGAATGACCAAAAAACTGAAAAATAATTCTTAGCACTGTTAGCTAGCCCATTTATTGTGGAAGACTATAGGCTACACTTTAAGAACGATATAAAATGTAGTACATGCGGAAAGCTATAGTTATAATTTTACTGTAAAAAATATGTCATGTTGGGGATACTTAGGATGACTTGAGGATACTTTAACGATGGTAGAGCCACGCAGCGGCCTCGGCTGTTGCACGAATGGGCAGGCTCGTCCGGGTAAGTACCAAGACCTCACAAAAGATCGGCGTAAAGTGGAAGTATGGTAAATACTTTCGCGTTTCGTCTGGTGAGTAAGGTAGCCGGAGCCCAATTTCCAAAAAAGTTGTCAACGCATCTGCAAACCCTCGGGTGTAGCAGGTGTCTATGGGCGGCGGTATTCACTTAACATCAGGTGAACCGTCTGCTCGTTTGGCAACTTTACACATTAAAAAAAAACACTTATTTTAATTTTTTTACGAAGTTCTGTAAGAAAGTGGTAGATATTAAGTGGTGGATATTGATATGGACCTCAATCGATCTCTCATCGAATAGATGTCTGGCCTTGCAGGTTGAAGGTTTGTATACAAAATACGAGGGTCATTTTGAATAGGGTTAGTTAGCATAAGAATTTATGTTTTATTAAGTTCCTTTTTGTATATTAACTGTTACTGTAAAAACAAAAAAGTGCCAATTATTTCACAATAAACATGTGACAGAACTTATGGCCCGATGATATAATACTGGCCATTCGCCATAAATGTAAACATTGTTTTTAAAATTATTCTTTTGGATGTTCTTATAGGGATGGTCGATATTAGAAAACCATCGATGTTGACATCGAAGTCATAATCGGAAGCCCAACATCGATATTAGATATTTATCGAAAACTCAACATCGATGTTAGATAAAATCGATGATTTTTGCATTAATAGTAATGGACAAAGAAATAAAATAATTGAAATGATTCGAATTCCCAAAAGCTACTTTTGGCAGCATTTTTAATTCTGTTCCTGTATCCCTGAAAACAGACAATTAAGTGTAAACAAAATTTAGTTATGAACTCACGATAACCGGACCATACAAAAATATTCATTGGAAAGTACACTAAATTAAATATTATATCACCTTAATATACAATTTTCAATACAACTAAAATCCCAAGCATCCACATCCACAATCCACAGCTGTACAAAAAAGTGAGATAAATTGTTTACGTAAATTGTCTCATATATAGTATTTATAACTTTAAAAAAGAACGATATCGTTTAGCATGCACAAAAGAAAACAGCTAAATTCAATATTTAGAATAACAATGTCAGTCAATCAATAACAACTTATATATTATTGATGTATTCCATATAATTTTATATGCACAACAGTACAATTTTATCAAATGAGTAAATTAAAACAGGCGACGCACGCGCACAACATAAAATTTTATCAACAAACGAATGGAAGTGTAAGAGAGAAAGAGCGAGCGAGACTACGAAGAACGAACGAAGTGATCGACCGGTGCGCAGCGAACTATAGTACACGTTCAGAACTTTAATCAACTTTTTGTGGATGCGTTCACAGAAAACATAATTTGTTTCGTAAGTTGCATTAGTCGTGCGTGAGGCCTAGCTCACGGCCTCATCGATGATCGACTCCGTTAACATCGATGTTACGATATTTTTCGTATAACAACATCGATGTAAAAACATCGATGATCATCGAGCATCTCTAGTTCCTTATTACTGACACAATTGTTCTTACGTATGTATATATTTTCTGCTTAATAAAACCTAATTACTAGGTTTTGTATTATTTATCAATTTATTAAGCAGAAAGAATCAACAATTCAATAAAATAATTCTCAAGAAGTATGGAGAGATTTTTAAGACTAGAGAAATTTGAAACCGATTCTTCATTTGCTACCGCGGCACAAGAATGGAGACATTGGTATATAACTTTTGAAAATTTTTTGGCTATAAATGATGTTAAAGATGAAAAAGCAAGATTGCAACTTCTGATTAATCATCTACCATCCAAAAGTTTATGAATATATATGTCATTGTGTTAGCTACAAAGATGCGATCAATAATTTAGAGCTTGCATTCGTCAAACCAAAAAATATAATTTTTGCAAGACACAAGCTTATCACCTCAAAACAAGAAAACGGGGAAATGATTCAACAGTTTATACATAAATTAAAACTACAAAGTCTAGAATGTGAATTTATATCAGTGTCTGCTGAAAAATATAAAGAAGAGTATATCAGAGACGCCTTCATTTCTGGTATTTCATGTAATAATATCAGACAGAGATTATTAGAAAATTTATCACTTTCTTTAGATGAAGCATATAACAAAGCAGTATCATTGGAGCTAGCGAAGTCTACTGCTCAAGAATATCAGATCAATCCAATAAATGCTTCGCAATCACAAACTCATGTTAAAAATCATGAGTTTTCGTCGGCTTATCAGAAAACTTTATACAATCGAAAGAAATGTTTTTTTTGTGGCGGAAATATACACTTGCGTTCAAATTGCCCTGCAAGGAATGCGATTTGTCAAATATGTGATAAAAAGGGACATTGGGCCAAAGCATGTCGTAACTCAAAAAAATCTGTAAATGCCGCAATGGAAATAGATGACATGGACGCTGTCATGGATAGCTTCTGTCATAGCTGCATCACCTGCATGCCTCGGTGAAGCAATTGTAACTATAAAAATAAAGGGGGTAAATGCTCAGGCTTTAATCGATTCAGGAAGTTCTAGGAAGCTACATTAATAGTTTATTTTTTGATCGCTGTTGTCTAATAAAAGAAGAATGTTCAGAGAAAGTAACAATGGCTACGACTAATTATACATCGAATGTAGAAGGCCTGTGTATTACGTCAATAAGCATAGGAAATCACATTTATAAAAATATAAAATTACTTATTGTAAAACATTTATGTGCGGATATTATTATTGGTCATGATGTATTAACTCAACATTGCAAAGTTCAATTAAATTTTGGTGGTCCAAGAGCAAACTTGAAATTTGCGGAGTAACCGCAGCTATGATTCCTCCAGTATCAATTTTTCCTAACTTATCGTCGATCTGTAAACCTATAGTCACTAAATCTAGACGTTTTTCTAAAGACGATTTAAAATTCATTGCTAATGAAATTCAGGAATTATTATTAAATGGTATTATTGAAGAAAGCAGATCTCCATGGAGAGCTCAAGTTCTTGTAATAGAAAATGATAATCATAAAAAGCGTCTTTGCATTGATTATTCACAAACTATCAACAAATATACTTACTTGGACGCTTACCCATTGCCAAATATAGAGACAATTGTACAAGATATTGCTAAGTACGAATTATTCTCAAAGATTGACTTAAAAAGCGCGTATCACCAAATTCCGATCCTTGATACGGAAAAACCATTAACTGCTTTTGAAGCAGTCGGAAATTTATATCAATTTTGTAGAATCCCATTTGGAGTTACTAATGGTGTAAGTAGCTTTCAGAGAACTATAGACTGGATAATACGAACGGAAAATCTACAATCTACGTTCGCCTATCTAGATGATGTTACCGTATGTGGTAAGAATAAAGAAGACCATGACTATAATCTTGAGAAGTTTGTCTGCTGTCAAAAAGTACAATCTTACTATAAATGAGAAAAAAATGTACATTTTCAATTAAAAATATTTCTATTCTTGGATATAACATTAATAATAAAATGATCACTCCAGATTTAGAAAGAATCAAACCTCTACAAAATTTGCCTATTCCAACGGATGCTGCTTCGTTAAGAAGGACAGTAGGAATGTTTTCACATTATTCTAAATGGATACCGAAATTTTTCGAAAAGATTCGAATTATTATTAATAACAATGATTTTCCATTGAACAATGATGCAGTAAACGCTTTCGAAAGTTTAAAACAAGAAATAATTAAGTCATCTGTTCATGCCATTGAGAGCAAAATCCCATTCACTGTCGAAACAGATGCATGAAATTTCGCAATCGGAGCGACACTTTCACAGGAAGGGAGACCTGTTGCTTTCTTTTCAAGATCACTCACGGAGTGTGAAAGAAAACACTCTGCAATTGAAAAAGAAGCATATGCCATTGTAGAATCTGTCCGTAAGTGGAGGCATTTTCTAATAGGACGAGAATTTCGTTAATTAACTGATAAAAAATCGCTATCATTCATGTTTAACACCAAGCATAATAGTAAAATTAAAAATGACAAGATTATGAGGTGGCGCCTGGAGCTCTCTTGTTTTAAATATGACATTATATATCGACCTGGGAAAGAAAATGTTGCAGCGGATGCACTATCTCGAATGTGTGCATCTATTCATACAGAACCTAAACTATTTTCTTTACATGAATCGCTTTGTCATCCTGGAGTCACTCGAATGTTTCATTGGGTGCGATCTAAAAACTTACCATACAGCATTGATAATATACGACAAATGACACGTGGCTGTAAAATGTGTGCAGAAGTAAAACCTAAATTTTGCAACAGCCGTGGAATATTAATAAAAGCTACAAGTGTATTTGAAAGATTAAACATAGATTTTAAAGGACCCCTACCCACAAATTCAAAAAATCAGTATCTACTCACTATTATAGACGAATATTCAAGATTTCCGTTCGCATACCCCTGTGAAGACACATCTACATACGAGTATTATTAAGTGTTTGACAAACTTATTTTCTATATTCGGCATACCCTCATCTGATAGAGGATCATCATTTATGTCCCATGATTTAAAAATCTTTTTACAAATATGTCCGTTTACCTGATGGGAAGGGAAGATTGGACGGTATCTAACAGACATCATTAGCGCCTCTAGATTCGTCGGAGAATGTTTTATCGAAAATACTATGGAAATTGAAGCCAGTGTTTATGAAAAAGCATAATCGAAAATCATAATCAAATAGATCTGCCAAGTGGAAATATGTATCTAACAGACATCTAGCGCCTATAGATTCGTCGGAGAAGATCTGCCAAGTGGAAATATACGAGAGAAGAAAATATGAAGAAAATGAACAATGTAGAGAAGTAATGACAATGGAGCGACCGGTTAGAACTAAAAAGCGGCCAGAATATTTAAAAGATTATGTTACTTAAGCGGCCAGAATATTTAAAAGATTGTTACTTTTACTCGATAGGGTAAATGATATAATACTGGCCATTCGCCATAAATGTAAACATTGTTTTTAAAATTATTCTTTTGGATGTTCCTTATTACTGACACAATTGTTCTTACGTATGTATATATTTTCTGCTTAATAAAACCTAATTACTAGGTTTTGGATTATTTATCACCCGACTAGGTAATAGAGATATCTTCTACATTTTCTTTCATTGAATTATCAGGCGCTAATCAATTAGTAAAACTACATGACGACGTCGACTTTCCATAGTGGGAAAAGCTAACAACACTGACGTAACTACGTAAATCGCAGTGATTTGTATTTCATTGATGCTATTATATTAGGCGCGAATAATAATATATTACTAGAGTCTTATATTGTTATTTTTGATTGCCAAATTTTTTGTATTATTTTTTATTATTTTATTACATACATTTGAACGCTCTATACATATTAAGAAAAGTGTTAAATCTCAAAATTTAATTTAATTAAGTTAGTTAATGAAATTAGTGTCAATAGCAGCTAAGATACATTTCTAGTCCAAACTACAACACAAGTATTACTCATGTGAGTTTGGTAACGGCGGATCCTGTTCTAGGGACCATGAGAACCACTTCCATTGTTCTGTCTATTCCGTGATTGTCGGAATCACCGTCGGGGGTCCCGCCAATCCAGCCAGCCACCGACGAACCAAGCACAGTCAACGGCCATCGGGGTCACAGTCTGCACCCAACCTCGATGGCCCTAAGCGATATGCCATAATTAACGCGCGCATAAGTACATGCGCGGCCCTACTATAGGATGAGGGCCTCATACCCGTGGGTTCTGACTAGTCCTCCGGTTCTGCTTTCGATGAAGCTTTAGTCTAAGCACTGAAAGCGTAACATAATAAAAGTAGTATTATACAAATGAAAATATATTCTATGAACACACCACCACGCGGCAAACACTGCATACAATAAGCCACACATACCAAGCACAGCGCGTTCGTGGACGAATGCGAGGTCCCGAGGAAGCCCGATTCATAGTCTACACGAGATATCCGCGTGTGCCAGGTAGCTTTTGAATCAGGCACGTCATGTTTGTGTTGTTAGTTAATGGCGAGGCTGCGTCCGATGGTTCACTAGTTAAGTAATTAAGTACTAGGATTTTTATATTCATAAACTAATTATTTTAGTAATTCGATTATTGTCGTAAGTTTATTACGAAAATTATTCTGTTATCTGTACTAATGTAAATTATCCATTTTACATTATTTAATTGTTTTACGTAAATAAATGATTGTTTGCATAATTTAATTTTCGTAAAGCTTTTTAAGTGCGTCAACTATTATTTTTGGAAAAGTTGGGAAATGTAAATTACAATGTTTAAATACAACATCTAAAAAATCCTCTCAGATACATTTTTAATTTCTAACCTATAATTTTGAAACTGTCACTTACGTGACGCTGACGTATTATGAATGACAATCAACTTGTCTCCTGCTACCGTACCAAATTAAACCCTAAAGTTTCGTATTATATTTATGAGTAATGACACTCCCAAGACTTATATGACAAATATGGTGTATTAATTTTACAGTTACATCGACATTTGTTATCAGTCTCATTTTTTTTGCTGAATGATTGCTTTGAGAAAACAGAAACCATGCCTTTGGCGAATTCTTCCGATCCTTGGCGAATGCAAAATGTTGGAGATAACATGGTAGTCAATTCTGTATTAATTGGTTTACCTTACTTTTCTATTTGTTTACTCATTCTTTCAAGTGAATTGTCGTAAACATCGATTATTATCAATATTTGCTACGATATAGTTGGTGAATAGTTATTCTTTATCTAAGAAAATATTACATTTTGTTCAATTGATATAATGTTATTTGATGTGTTTTAAATAAACTTATTTTCGTTGAGATGACTGCTTACTTTTATGATTTACTTTATTTTTATTAAAAATTTGAGTAGGGCTTTGAATTCTAATATATGGGATAACTTGTAGTAAGATAGTCCTGTTTATCATGTTTAACAATTTTTTCTAAAAATTAATTGATTATACCCATAGACATCATGAATTTATTTTCTGTAACCAAATTGAGACAAGACAACATCTTGTAATGTTTTGAATGTATTTGTACCTTTCACTGTTGGTTGTCACATGGTTAAGTTCTAATATTACATGTGAAAATGTGTTTAATTTAATTATTCAACCAGACCTATTATTGAAGAAATTTAATAACTTTGCTTAATAAGCTTTTATTATTTTTTTATTTAGTGTTAAATACTAAGTAATTTTTTAAGTTACAGTTTAGTGAAATTTACTCATTTTAATCTGATATGTTAATTTTATTAGCGTGGTGTCAATAATCAGCCAAACAGTCTTCCAATGGTTGTTGAAAATTTAGCCGAATCACGTCAGGCATCTACAACTGAAAGTCTTGACTCAACAGGAGAGATAAGTTATGAACGTGAAGTAGAGTTGCAAGATGTTATTAAGGAAGGCCATGAGAAAGCAGATCCTTCACAGTTTGAATTGCTCAAAGTACTTGGTGAAGGTTCCTTTGGTAAAGTATTTTTAGTGAGAAAAGTAAGCGGTGCTGATACGGGAACACTCTATGCTATGAAGGTAATTAATTATGATGAACTATGATGTAAAATTTTAATTGTTTGTACAAAAGTGATGTTCATATCAGTTTTAATAATAATTCTGTCTATTCTACAACAATTATTCTACATTTTTTATTTTAAAATTCTCAAATAAATATGTATAATCGCATATGTATAATTACATATTGAATGTCTGTTTCTGGTTTTATTCAAGGTGCTTAAAAAGGCCACATTAAAAGTCAGAGATAGGGAGCGTACAAAAATGGAGAGGAACATTTTAGTTGAAATGGGCCATCCATTTATTGTTAAATTACACTACGCCTTTCAGACTGCAGGAAAATTATATTTAATACTCGACTTCCTAAGGGGCGGTGACCTATTTTCACGCCTCAGTAAAGAGGTAAATTACTTTGATAATTGTTGTTATTATTATTCAAATTAACACATAAACCTCATATATTTTTTTTATTTCAAAAATTGGCAAGTGATCTGGTGGTCCATGGACATCAGCAAGAATCGTAACGTTGACACCTTTTAAAAAAAAACTGTACCTTTTTACCCCATGCACCAAACAAAATGCAGATGAATGCAGTATAAATATTCATACTTATATCGTATACTTACTTGTATACTTCCATTTCGCGTAGGTCTTCCGTGAGGCCGTGATAATTAATAATATTATATAAATATAAATTGATAAAACTTTTAAGGCTTAACCAGTAAAGTGTGCTACAAAGCCCTTACCACATTTCTTTTCTATTATAAATACTGTAACTAAAACATTTGTGACACCATAATACTTTAGTGCATACTTAATAATCTATATTATTTTAACAGGTAATGTTTACAGAAGAAGACGTTAAATTTTATCTAGCCGAACTTGCATTGGCATTAGAGCATGTTCATAAATTGGGAATAATATACAGGGATCTTAAACCTGAAAATATATTGCTAGATGCTGACGGCCATATAGCTCTTACCGATTTTGGTTTATCGAAACTTCCGCCTAGTAGTGACAAAGCATACAGTTTCTGTGGAACTGTTGAATATATGGCCCCGGAAGTTGTCAATAGAAGGGGTCATACATTTGCTGCAGATTGGTGGTCTTTTGGTGTTCTTATGGTAAGTTATTAATATTCACTTTATATAATACTATGTAGTAAATATTCTTTTTAATAAATCGCTTTTATCGGAAAATTTTACATAATTATAATATTTAACTCACCATCATCAGTCTACAAGTTTGTAGACTGATTTTTTGGTGTGATTACTTTCCATCAGTTTCAATAGGTTCTGAGGTGTCAGTTGGTTAACTATTTATGTCACCACTTTGTTAACTATTTATGTCGTTCATTTGCAAACTATCGCTCCGCCCCGGCTTAGCACGGGTGGTAATTGTCATCTTTAATGTATTTTTTTACCATGTTTTGTACTATAAGATTATTTATTCAATCATTCGTTTGATCAATCTTGTAAGATTTAGCCAGCGTTTGCAATGTAAGCGCACAAAAATATGTTTTTTACGGCTTGTCTAAATCCATGCTGCTGGTATGCTACACATAAACCTTCTTCTTGAATCACTCTATCTGTTGCTGAGAACTGCATTAAAATCCTTTGTATAGTATAAAATATCAAAGCGTATGTACAGAGTGAGGGCGACTTGGTTTTATATTAAGTAGTAAAGATGTGTATATAGTTATACATATCTATTAATTTGTTCATAATAAATTAATTTTGTAACGCTAATTACGCGCTAATCAAGCCTCAACATGTGGCCGTAAGGAGGGGTAGTAATATTCATATACATTTTCAGTTCGAAATGCTAACGGGAAACTTGCCGTTTCACGGTTCCACCAGACACGAAACAATGACGCAAATCCTAAAGGCCAAACTCGGTATGCCTTCAAATTTGAGCGAAGAAGCACAGTCGTTGCTCCGTGCTTTGTTCAAACGTAATCCGCAGAACAGGTGTGGTCTTCACATGAATATTATCTATATTGATGAATATAATCTATATGTATGAATACCATCTATATCTAATTTAAACATTCGCTATCGTAAAGGCAATATTGACGCGCTAAATTCGCAGGTTGGGTGCCGGTCCGAACGGCATTGAAGACATAAAGAAACACGAGTTTTTCGCGAGCATCGACTGGGATGCTCTACTAAAGAAAGAGGTTAGACTATTTTTATCTTTTGTAATGGTCGTATTAACTCGTGTGTGGAACAATACAGTCCACATTAGAGAGGGCTTATAACAAGGTCGCAAGCTCGGAAGAAAACGTTATTTCGCTTTGTAATTTTAATGTGCAGTAGAAATTAGATGCCGTAGAGATATGTCAACTTTATTTATTCCGCGTAACTTATTTTATAAAAAATATCAAGATTTATTTTGATTAATACAAAAGAAATAAATTAGATTATCCAGACTGGTAAAATTTTCCATTACCACAGTGTGATTTACCTGGTGCAAAAAAATTTTATTCAATAAAGAAAAATCACTAATGAAATAAACAACAAGTAGAATTATCTGGCTGCGCATAGTTTTCGAGAAAAAAATATTTAAAACTCGTTATTTTCACTAAGAAAGTCCTCCATTTTTTTATTGACAACATGTTAGATATAAAGCTACTAAAAGATTTTTTGTTAAAAATACATACATATTTGAAGTTGCACACTTTTCCAAATGGTAATGTCGCATTAATAAAAAACACTGACGCTTCTTCGCCTTTGGTTTAATTATTACATTGTAACATTTAAAAACTTTCATATTAAATCAAAAACACGTCTTGTCCACACTTTAAACAAACAAAACTTTTTACAAGAACACCACGACGACACAAAAAAATTGAAAAGTACTGAACAATCTGATTGAGATTCTAATAAAATTTTATAAAAAGAAATAAAATATAAATTGCAATACGTACATTATTGGTATCCACCATTACAAATACAAATATTAAAGAGGAAATTGAAAAGAGCGGGAAATACTTATCTTTTTAAATTTAATATATGATTAGGTACTCAAATATCAATACAGCCAATATGCTAATATCGATTTCGGAACTCGATTACAAATTTTATAAAATCTTTTTAATCAGTAGTATAAATTAATTTCAAGTCTATTTAACACAAACTGATAGGTTTTTTGGTAATTGTACATTTTTATATATCAAGAAGCCTTATCTAATTAAGATTAATAGTGATTTTTCTTTAATTTTTTTATTAAAATTACGAAGATTTTTCTTTTTACATACGAAATATTCACCTTTCACCTTCACCAATTAAAATTTTTTGTTTAATGTAAAAAAAATATTCATATTTCTGGCCGTGGAAGAGTCAAATTTAATTATGAATTAATAATTATTATTTCATTATTAAATTTGACTCTTCCACGTGCTTCGCCAGAACACTCGCTATGTCGCCCCTGAGTGTCGCTTCACCCACTCGGCCTTCGCTTCGCTTGGCCTGGCTGGCTTGCGCCACTCAAAACCTCCGGCGCGGGGTTCTGGCTCCGCATTTTTATGTTCACTCTAGGGGTAGGGACCACAAGACCACATGGAGTCGGGGTGCTCTGTGTCGGATCTGTGACTCATTATTTTTTTACAAAAAAAATTTATCGACTTTACAATCGATACGAGTATGACTTCATTCGCTACCTATATTTATCATATTGGCAGTACTGTATATTGAGTTTTTGAAGTCCACTTAGTAAAATGGCAGACTTTCGTAGTGAAAATAACAAATTTTAAATAATTTTTATCTCGAAAACTGTGAGTGAGCAGATAATTCTGCGTGTTGATTATTTCATTAGTAATTTTTCTCTATCGAAAAAAGTTTTTTGTTAGCACGAAAATTAAACTGTGGTAATGGAAATTAATACCATTGGTTTTAACCAATGGACACACTTTGGTATTCATAACAATAGAAGGGACAAGTAGTGCCGGCGTTTACTTATGAATTTTCCATTATTTGGATATTTCCGCAATAAAATCACTGTATCAATTTTTTTTTGCCTAAACTCATATATTACCAAAAACAACAGCTTCTTTCCCGGATTTTAAGAGAGCTTTAGAAACGTTAAGAGGTTGTGGCTCAAGGAATCCGACAAGCCGAAAAAAGACTCATTTATGTTAGTATTATGTCGGTGTCCTTTCAACCGACTTCAAAAAAGGAGGTTCTCAATTAGTTTATCTAAATATATAATATAAATCTTTATGCAATAGCTTCGGTTTGGCTCCCATTCGGTCCCATATTAATTTAAACTCAACCTTGGATGCCAGAGATATGTCTGGAAACTCCTCAAAAACGATTATAATAATAAATATATTTAGGACACAATTGTACAAAACGCTCTCTTCTCCTAAACTTAGCAACGCAATCCCAACTGAATGGTTACTTGAATCTCAAATCAGTGGGTACTAGATAATTTATAAACATACTTTATTTTATAAATAAATACTTGAATCTCAAATCAATGGTTACCAGATAATTTATAAACATACTTTATTTTTATAAATAAATACATGTAATACATTTACAAAAACGCAGACATAGAAATAACACTATGTTAGTGTAGTGGGGATGAACCCACACCCTCTGGCGCAAGAGGCAGTTTCACTACCCATTACGCCAATACGATCGTCTATCATCGTATGGAACATTTAATTTTTAATTTTTAGTGCAACCGCAAAAAAGAACTAATCGGTAAAAAAGGGAGCCAGGAACCGCCTTATATTTTTTTATTCTGTTTTTTTAGTATTTGCTTATATAGCGGCAACAGAAATACATGATCTGTGAAAACTGTCTAACTATCACGGTCCAAGAGATACAGCCTGGTGACAGATAGACATACAGCGGTCTTAGTAGTAATAGGGTCCCGTTTTACCCTTTGGGTACGGAACCCTAAAAGTGTGAAAATGAATACTGTCGCAATAAAAAAAATTGCGGCTAGAGAGTCGACGCGTAATCCAGAAAGGCGCCGGTTTGAATCCTCGCAGCGAAGATTATTCGAATAGGAATTGTTTAATTGTTGTTTTGTGTGGGATTTTTTTTATGGGGAAAAAATCGGCAACCGAGCAGGAGGCTCACCTGATGGTAAGTGATCACCGCTGCCGATGGATACCTGCAACACCAGAGGGATTACAAGTGCGTTGCCGGCCTTTTAGGATAGAGTACGCTCACCTCTTGAAGGTTCCCAGGTCGTAACGGGACATATGAGGTGGATTTTTCGTTTTATAGGTGGTACCCCCCTTCCGGCCGGCCGTTTCTAGGGCGGACGACGCGTTCTACTTCGACTCGGAGTTCACCTGCCGTACGCCGCGCGACTCGCCCGGCGTTCCCGCCTCCGCGAACGCACACGAGCTGTTCAGGTATTTACAGAGCCGTGGGCTAAGCCAAGTCTCGGCTGGTCCGGGCAGGGCCGGATTTAGAGGTCTTTAGGCGTCGGGGCAACAAAGGAGTGGAAGACCCTAGGCCCCAAATGTTTTCGATTAAAATTTGTAGAAAAAGTACGAAAAGATTGTCGATGGGAATCGAACCCGCGTCCTCGGCATTCGCGGCGTGACGCTTTAGACACAAAGCTAAACGCGTGATTGCCACACCGACGAAAATGTTAACGTCTTTTATCTACATTGTTTTTTAGCATTAGAAAGCAATGCTTGGCGCATCCATTGTTATATCCTTTCAAGCATACAAACAATTTCGAATGTCGTTTTACAACGTTAATTCGAACGAGAGATGTCTAAAATTTCTAAAATGAACAATTTTTTTTCAGTCGAGTTTTCCATTAAATAATTTAAATTTAGTGTTTACTAGTCTGAATTTGAATTTTTTTCCGAAGTCTATTGTGGGATCCCCTCTTTTGTAGAGGCCCCTTAAATCCAGCCCTGCCCACCGGGTTACCCCCCCTTAAATCCGGCCCTGGTCCAGGCAATGTCATCCTTTATCACCTAGGACCTAGGTGTAGGATCATGCTGTTAGTTAGTAGTGACATTGGCTAGGTTTCGACTGACCGACCGCCTGACGTCCACCCTCCCTGAGAACAAACTCCCAAGTCCGGATCGCACAAATATTTGTCCCGTGTTAGCATTGGATCCACAATCCACAGTGACAAAGCCATAGTTTAGCATCTGTACCACCTTCGCCAAATCAAAATGTTTTGAAAAACCTTTTTTCCCTGCATACAGCGCCCTAACATTAGATGAACCGCCAGCTCGCTTGCTAACTTTTCACGAAAAGATTGGTAAAGATTACGATCGATATACATTTTAATTTTACACGTGCTGAAGAAACCTATTGTAAATTCCGTTCTTGGCAAATTACTTGTATCCGGAAACGGGAAATTATGGCGTTTTGTAAACGTTTTATGAGGAAAATTTTACATAAATCATTGAAGCAAAGCAAGTACGAGCATAATTCTGATATTTTTACCCTGTAGACGGTGCGGTAGTATTTAAGTCGTTTATAATTCCACATATAACGCAACCGTTGGTTTATAAAGTTATTTTTATATCACCACTAGATATATTTATGTGAAGACTTAAAATATTGTGTGTTTTCAAATAGATCGTATTGAATTCTTACGTAACTGTCGCATACAGTTTCGAAGCATAGATTTCATAACACACGCAGTAATATATTAAATTCGTTTTATTACCGTTTCATTTATCAATAACTGATGATAACGCTTATAAAATGATTCTAAAGTGACGTTGATAATTCTCATGTTTACGTGTTTCATAAAACGCTTTTTAATAGGCATTGATTCACACCTTTCCACGACTTTCAAACCTGAATTAGTAGAAAAGTAATGAAAGCAAACGTTCTACGCGAATTAATTTAAAAAAATAATAATTATCTTATATACGTAGTATATGTATACAGAATATTTATTGAAGCTGGTATTGTTGCATTCATCAAAAAGTCCTATTTTGTTCGTAAACTTAAATAAATTTAAGCACATATTGAATTGTTTAATATAGTCGTTACAAGTTTTGTTTACATGGATTTATTTGTTTTTTTTTTAATATTTATTTTTAATTTTTTCATTTTTTCCAAATCTATCTTGGATTCAGATTCGCATTTAAAAACGTGCAATTCTTGTATATATATATATATAATCTGAATCTCGGAAACGGCTCCTATGATTTTCATGAAATTTCGTATGTGCGTAGATTCGGGGGCTAGCGATCTAGCTAGGTTTCATTTTTTGAAAATGTCCTTTTATCCCTGTTTTCAGGGAATAAAATATATCATTCGAACATGACGGTAAATTTCGGTAATAGGGCGACACACTTATTTTTTTTACTTTTTTTTCTCTACCAAATCATTGCTTTCTTTATTTTTTATTTTTTTTTATTTCCAAAATACATGATTACCAAAAAAAAACAGGTCCACCAGGTACTCATTTATTATTAGTGTATTAATTTTAAGATTTTAAATGGCCACCGTTAAATAAATTTAACAGTGGTAGAGCCACGCAGCAGCCTCGGCTGTTGCACGAATGGGCAGGCTCGTCCGGGGAAGTCGAAGTAAACTGAAGTAAACGTTTCGTCTGGTGAGTGAGGTGGCCGGAGCCCAATTTTCAAAAGGTTGTCCAACGCATCTGCAACCCTCGGGTGTAGCAGATGTCCATGGGCGGCAGTATTCACTTAACATCAGGTGAACCGCCTGCTCGCTTGGCAACTTTTCACATAAAAAAAATAATTAAATGTAAATTGATTGATAGATTTTCGTAGCCGAACCGACAAACTGAAATCCAAATCGCAAAATTCGCGCTAGCATTTTTATTCCGCTTTATTCCAATTGGTAAGAAAGAGAGAAAGCTAATTTCATAGTACGATCAATCAGTTTGCGTTTGGATACCACAATTAATTTGCTACTATCTCCAGTGATTTTATTTGTCGATTCGGATTCTTTTGGTGCTCTCGATAAATAGATCGTCACGTTTTGGTTTGTTTATCGTTTTTTTGAAATCGGATTTTTAGTTTGCGTAATCGATACAAATCGATTTGTGTTTGAAATTTGATTTTAGATTCGTTTTGATATATCGGACGCATGCCTAATAGTGCATCACAAGATTTTTCTTCCGTTGTGGGAATCGAGGCTGAAACAGCCCAACAGCAGCCAGTAAGATGAAATTGTGTTGCGCCATCCGTGTAGTAAATTCAACAACGTTAGTGTGGTAGTGGCATTCTGACAACAGCTTCTGCTGTTGCAGGAATGGGCATGCTCGTCCCGGGAAGTACCACGGCCTCACAAAACAACGGCGTGAATAGGAACTAATAAACTTTCGCGTTTCGTCTGACTAGTTAGTTAACCGGAGCCCACCCTTGTGTTTGTCCACGCATCTGCAAGCCATCGGGTGTCGTAGATGTCCATGTGCGGTAGTATTCATTGCACATGAGTGAACACCTGCACGCTTGGCAAATTTTCCCAAAAAAAATTTAAATTAAAAATATAAAGAAAAAATTAAATTTAAGTTCAATTATAAGACAACCTACAACATTTCGATGAACGCAACAATTACATTTAGCGATTATTCTATTTACATAAATTATGAATGATAGGATTTTTTTTTCTAAATTCATTCGCGTAGATTACTTGGTTTCATAGTTTTTCTACCCCAACAATAAAAGAGACCATCTTATTTCTAGGGGCTTCAGCTTCGTCGCCCCGTGCCTCCTCAACGACGACAACAATAAGACCCTCACCAACCAGAACCAGCCGCCGCAGACCAAGACCTCCACCGAGGAGTTTTGGGCGGGCTTCGTCAACAGGAACAACTTCTTCGACGAGTACAGGTCGGTCGTGGCGAATCGGTAACGTGTCTAATGTGATGTTTCAACATAACTAGCGACCCGCCCCTGCTTCGCGCGTGCAGTGCCGGTTATTAGTAAAAAATCTGTTGATATTATCTATAGTTACCAAACTTCACAGGATCACGTGCCGGTCTGATCTCAAGATTCTTTGAAAGCGTCATCAGAATCGATCCAGCCGCTTTTTAAAATATGGTACACACATATAGATTTTTATATACATAATTATATAGATTTAATTTTTTCTTTTTTAGTCGGTGTCCGAACGGTCTTTAGATCATAGGTTCGAATACGAATGAGGTAGCGATGACAAATTATAATTATATATCACATTTTTGTACCGGTAAAATTTGGTGGTAAGTATGCTCGGTGAAACAGAGAAAGAACTATTGGGCCGTCTCTCTCTAACCCCTTCTCCAATTAACTTTCCTTCCTGAGGCTTTTTTGTTGTTTTTACCTCCGCCAAACAGCATCTAGCCATTGTAATAGGACGGACTACATTTATATGGTTTGATACGCAAACGTATTTTCTATTACTTATAGATGGAAACCTATTGGATCTATTTGGTCTTATTCCGTATTTGCCCTTTATGTGATAACCATTCATGCCATTTAAACAATACTCATTATAACACGTTCATCCCCAATAAAGGAGTTTATATTTAAGTATCTTTCTCGTTTAAACGAGAAAGATACTTAAATATAAACTCCTTGCAAACTCGTAAATAACAAAAAGAAAGATTTGGAAAAGTGAGGAGGGTAGTATCTGTACCCAATTTTATATTTGTTCACAGATTAATGGGCGAACTCGGTACCGGTTCCTTCTCAGTCGTTCGCCTCTGCGAGCACAAAACGTCTAGAGTGCAATATGCAGTGAAAATTATGGACAAAATGCAATACGATCCGCGCGAGGAAATCGAAATTTTATTGAGGTAATTTAGAAACAAACATATCATAGTTACAATGTTTGGCATTTATACAATATTTCGAAGATATGTGAAGTCTGCTAATGCGCGGTGGACTATATCCTAATAATTCTAAAATCCTAATAATGAGTTCTCTGTAATAGGAGCTTTTGCCCTGCAGTGTGACATATAGGCTGTTACCTGTTACATTACTTTAATATTGTTATCTGTAGAAATAAGTTAAATACACGTAGGAATAATAAATACAAATAGAATTAGTTGTGCTAACAATTCAAAGTTTTATGGGAATTGTTTGGTAAAACCGACTGGCGTCTGTTGCTGGTAGAATGAAGAAAATTGTCCAGGTGTGTTTTGTCTCGTATTAAACGGTATCAAAGTAAACTATAACAAACCTAGTTTCTCGAAAACACTTCAAGGAAACTTTGATAGTGTTTATTTGTATTGTCGTGCAGTGTGGTGCCGGCACCAATGAGATTGTTACTTGCAATTTTACGGGCCGATTTACCAAGTGTTCGACGGTAAAGAGAAACATCGTGAGGAAATACTAATAAAATGTATGTTATGGACTTTGTCGCGTTTTTAATCACCCGACGCCTCACTTAGTCAGGGAAAGTATTTCATCTAGTTTATGTTTCGATGTTTTCATTTTGTTGTTATTATCACGGCTTATTACTTTATAAACTTGCCTTGAATGCATTGCGATGATTGGCGTTCCGATATATCTATTAAGTCGGGCTATGGACAGGTAAAAAATTATTCCGATCCAAGCGGCAAACAGCAGCGGTTAACAATATGAAGGAGTCTTGCAGTGGTGGTGCTATAGCGTCTGGATTTTATTGATAATAGGATGGGTACAGCCGATAGTAAATCAGATCCGAAAATTCATTACTAAATTTATGTGTAAAATTCGCTCAAATAAAATAAGTCTCTGTCCCGAAGTAACCTGTATGTCTGAGAATTATGTAAATCTGTGGAATCGTAGCAGATTCGCGTGGTTAGCCGCCCATATAACCTGTGTTCTGACATGTTTACGTTCTTCACTTGAGTGAGCGCACAGGTACAGTCAGCACTACCACGTTAACGCTACGCAGCATACCTATACAAGGAGGGCGTAAACTGAAGTGTGCGCCCGCAGGTACAGTCAGCATCCGCACATCGTGACGCTGCGCGGCGTATACGAGGAGGGCGGGCGTACCATGTTCTATTGAGTGTTCGCCCGCAGGTACAGTCAGCACCACGACATTAACGCTGTGCGGTGTATACGAGGAGGGCGGGCGTACCATGTTCAATTGAGTGTTCGCCCGCAGGTACAGTCAGCACCCGCACATCGTGACGCTGCGCGGCGTTTACGAGGAGGGCGGGCGGATCCTCGCCGTGACGGAGCTCTGCCGCGGCGGGGAGCTGCTCGAGCACATCACGCGGCGCGGCCACCTGCCCGAGCACGAGGCGGCGCCGCTGCTGAGGAACGTGCTGCAGGCCGTGCACTACCTGCACCGGCACACGGTCGTGCACAGGTGCGTGAACATCACTACGTTGCCATTGGGGGGCGGGATGGGGGGGGGGGGGGGGTCACAAGTTTCGTAAACGGCAACGCGGAGCCCACAAAGCAACGTGTAAACTTTTAATAGCTCACAGATGGCAGAATGTTTTCCTACCCACTTGACACTTATTGTTATATTTTGGATAATTCACATTACATTTTTATTAATTATAGCCTATGTGTTATACTGATGTATTAGCTATATTATTGTAAAGTTTCATTAAAATCCATTCAGTGGTTTTTGTGTGAAAGAGTAACAAACATCCATCCATACATGCAAACTTTCGCGTTTATAAAATTAATGAATATTAAGGATTAGTAAGGAAGTACATCATGTGAGTGATGTACGTAAAAGACTGGCGTGAGGTAGCATTCTTACTTTTGCCCTTGTCTTTTTTTTTGTACGAGCGAGGCAACCGGTCCACCTATTCAAAAAAGTATATATAGGGACATAGGGGCAAGACAAAAACCGGAGGAAATAGAAGAATCCTTTTAAGACAACGGTTTAGCTGTGGTTTCACAAGGCTTCTTCTATAACGCTTCTGCAACCCCTTCGGGTGTTGCATAATTATGTCCACGGGCGGTGTTTATCACTTAAAATTAGGTGAACAAGCTCTTTTGTCACTTTCTCGCATTAAAAAAGACGACACGTCGATGTTTAACCAACTTCTACGTCCAGGGACATAAAGCCCTCGAACATATTGTTCGCGACGGCCGAGAGGAGGCCCGAGGATATCCGGCTGGTGGACTTCGGGCTGGCGAAGCAGCTGCGCGCCGAGAACGGCCTCCTGATGACTCCGTGCTACACCGCCAACTTCGTGGCCCCGGAGGTGCTCAAGCGGGCGGGCTACGACGCCGCCTGCGATATATGGAGTCTCGGTAAGCGTCTCCTACTCTGTGTGCGAACTTAGAAAATTCATTAGCAGCACACAAAAAGGGTGGTAGTCAAAGAAAAATCGATCGCGCTACACCGCCAACTTCGCGGCCTCGAAGGTGCTCAAGCGGGCGGGCTACGACGCCGCCTGCGATATATGGAGTCTCGGTAAGCGTCTCCTACTCTGTGTACGAACTTAGAAAATTCATTAGCTGCACACAAAACGGGTAGTAGTCAAAGAAAAAGCGATCGCGCTACACCGCCAACTTGGTGGCCACAGTAGAGCGGACGGAACACGAAGTCGCCTGCGATATATGGAGACTCGGCACGAGTCTTCTACAGTGTATGCGGACTTAAGAAATTATTTTGCTTTCCCTTTCGAATTTGAAAACTGGCAGCTGCGAAACATTTTTACGTGAACAAATTGAACTGCCTTCCCTCAAACATTGGTCATACCTTTATAGAACTTCTTACAAAATATGCCTATTTATTCAACATCAATTAGTTCCGTTCTAGTATTTGATTAAAACAACTTTTAAATACAAGAAAACAACAGCGATATAATGCTTTTTAGCTTTTCAACATGGTGATAATTTTAATCATATATTTCATCCTTAATTCTTTTACAGGCGTACTAGCTTACATAATGCTGTCCGGTCGAACGCCATTCGCTTCCACGGGTGATGATACACCAGAATCAATTTTGGCGAGAATTGAGTCCGGAAAGGTAAAACACGGTTATTGTTTATGTATATGTAAAATATCCAAGCTTTAAGTTATGACAAAATTCTTATTTTTTTTTTTTTTAAAGTTTGATTACGTCAGAAAATTGTAATTTGTGTTTAAATATAATATAAACTTTATAATACTTGGGCATGTAGGCGGAGAACACTATAAAAGTCCGGAATCAGATATGAATATATACGATAATATAGACGATAATGGACAATCGGATAAAAAAATAGGTTTTTCAAAAGATTTTTTACCAAAATCTACACATTTTATAGCAGCAAAAAAAATATATGTTAACCTTGATCGTACATTCTAATGGACCATTGTTTCCAAAACATATTCCCGATATATTTTCTCGATAGAAAAAAATCATGAAACTACCTCTAAAAGAGAAATTCAAATCCAAAAATGAACGTAATGCATCAACAAATCTTAATGAAATTATTATCAGTGGTGTCGAATATATTAATAAAAAGGATTGTTGTTTTAATTTGTTGATTGAAGTAAGACATTTGTAAATATTAATTTAATTCATTAAAATTAATTCGAACGCGATGGCCAAAACACCGCGCCACCGCGGCGTTGTTTCGGCTCTCTTCCAATTCCACACGTTGAACAGAGAGCGCTGAGGCGCCTTGCTAGATGGACCTATGCCCCTCATCGCCCGCTCACCGTTACGAAATATGTTTCGTATTTATTTATTACTGAGAGTTTTAATATTATTCGACCTTCCATAACACTAAAGTAAAAAATATATATTCACATATTTCGTATTTTAAATTATTTGTATGTATTAACAGTTGTTAATTAATTTATTTAAAGCGTAATTTCAATATCTTATCTCTTGTTGGTCTATCAGTCCTATACATACAGTGTATAGGACCATCATTTTTTATGGATTGGGTTTAAATATCGAAATTTTTTGTTGTATTTATTGTTGATTTTCTTATTTGGAAGTATTTCTTAATTTCCATTTAATTTTTGTTGATTTTTTTATTTTCATAAATAATTACAACGAAATATTATTGTATTTGTTCAAAGTTGAAACAGTTGGAGAACAATCTATCAGTAAATAAACCAACTTTTAGTATTAAATTTTTTTAACGTCATCTATTTTTTTATTAAATTTATATTTTTTTTATTAATTTGTTTATTTACCAAATTGAGCCATTTAATAAAATAAAAAAAAATAATTAGTTGCCTAAAAAATTAAAAGTAAAAATAATATAAAAAATACAACTCCACTCGATGAGGGTTTGAACATGAGCAGAAATAGTTTACCGTTGTGTATAACGCTCGGACCAACAGGCTACGCGAGGTCTGTGGCAAGTGACAAAATTTCCATTCTTGTTATAATTGCTGTCGTTCATCGACACAAATAAAGATTTTATCGATAGTTTTTTAAATTTCATTTTAGTTGAGAAAGTAATATAAAATCTTAAATCTTGAACATTTAACGGATAAATTAAAATTCCTAATATACAGCGTGTCGTTACCATCGCGACAATAAATGAGCACACATATAGGGGATAACTTTTAAAAGTTGTATTAAACATTTAAATTCTTTAAACATCAATATTTACAGAGTTATTAAATTTTCCAAAACAAAGAATTTTAGAACACCCTTAACTATAAAAGCGTAACGTAAAGTTCATTTGTAAAGGTCACAAAGCATATGAATGGGCTGAATGAATTTAAGAGACAAAACATACTGTTAGAAGGAGAGGCTTGCAATACGACGCTGTGGCGCGAGTTGTATAGGTGTTACAAATTTTTTTTTTTTTTTTTTTACTTAATTAGTTTGAAAAATATTTTTTTTAATTATGGATTTTGTTTAACGTTAATATTTTTTTATGATTATTGGCAAGTAGCGTTAGACATGTGTTCATTTATTGTCGCGATGGTAAAGACACGCTGTATAAAATAAATGTAATAAAAAAGTTTTAGTTTCTGCAAAAATTTTATGAGCCATTTCTTTAAAATAACAATATATACCATAAAAACAAAAAATAATAATTATAAGTAATTTACCTTTATTAATTCATTTGACTTTAAGATGTATTTTTAATCTATTCCTTTACCATTTAATTAAAAAGTAATAATAAACAGGAAGAAGATTTTCTAAAATTGTTGATTGCTTTCTCATACTTTATATTTGTTTGTTTATTATTATTCCTATTATAATATAAAAGTAAAATACAATCATGGTCTATAAAAGATATTATAGGGATCATCTGTGTACATTTTCGAAAGCCTTCCATGATACTATCGATAGTATCCTACGGCCCATCACTACACCCACACTATGTAAAGAATGACTTGGACAAGCGGCGCGTCGACGAAACTCGCGCGCAGCGCGCCGCTAAGCGGCGTTACCCCTCCTCCCCTTCCTCATACTTCACCACCCAAATAGTTAAAAATTCAACGCGGCCTTGAAGTTTCTAGCGTCAATTCTCGTCTATTTATCAAATCACCGTTTCATTCCGTTTGCGTTAAAAACACATATACAGCAGACACCGCGCAGGCGCGATGCAGCGCAATTCGAATTTCGAACGTGGCTCTATCCAGACACCGAGCAGCATTGATGAAGCGAAATTCGAATTTCGAACGCGGTCGCAGGTGGAGCTGACGGAGGGCGCGTGGCGCGGCGTGTCTGCGGAGGCGCGCGCCTGCGTCCGCCGCATGCTGACGCTGGAGCCGGCGATGCGGCCGCGCGCCGCCGACCTACTGCGCGAGCCGTGGCTCTGCGCCCCCGCCCCCGCCCCCGCGCCCGCGCCGGCCCCCGCGCCCCACCACCCCGCGCCGCCCATCGCCGACCTGCGCCGCGCCGTCGACCTCACCCTCCAGGTGGCCTGATCCACTCCTTGTCGGATCGTTTTTCTCTTTCACTCTTATGGCGTATAGCTTCTTGTATCATGTATTAACTGATGTTAACGCTTTCATTCCCGAGACTATTAAATCTTCATCGAACGCAGAACCGGTAGGCTAGCCAGAACCCACGGGTTTAAGGCCCTCCACAGATGAAGGCCACGCGTGTGCTCATGCGTGCGTTGGCTGAGGAGTGTCGCCTACGGGCTACCTGTGCTTGGTTAGTCGGTGGCTTGGAGCGGCGAGAACCGCCCTGGAACGCGGTGTACCTAGCGTACGCGTTGGGTTGATTTCGACGTGCTCGAAGGCGAGGACGAACTATGGTGTTCGCTGTTGCACTAACTGTGTGTGTAGTGTTATCTGGCGGGATGGCGTATAGCTGTTACTCGTAGGGGGAAAACCGTTTTCTCTTTCGCTCGTTAAAAATGAATGAAAACATGAATATATGAAACTTCCACTTCACGCAAGTCTTCTATAAAGCAACTGAAACTACAGTTTGGCCATACAATCAGAGAGGTGTGAAAAAGTGCCAATATACCTAATTTTTTTAGAGGTGTGAAAAAGTGCCAATATACCTAATTTTTTTTTCTCAGGCAATGACCTCAGCCCCTCTCACTCCGCAAGTGCTGGGTCCAGTATCACAATCGACTCTTGCCCAACGTCGCATTAAACCACAACGCCGTTTCCCGCCTACCCAGCTGTAATAAAGAGGTACGCTATGTACTACTTTCGGCTTGTTCGTTTCATTCTTTCAAACTCGCATTTCAAAGTCACAAATTACGTGTTTAATAAAATATGTCATTTTCATGAAGTGATTTGGACACAGCTGTTGGGATAAGTATTAATATGATGTTTATCTTTAACTTATTTATCTCAAACAAACTCAACTTATTTATGAGTGTATGCAATTTACACACTGTTTGGAAACTTCTTATCATTGTGGGATTATACTCAAGCTATGCATTCAAAACGGCATTTACTTTGGAGTGTATTACATTACAAATGAACATTCCAATTTTAATGCAAATATTTAAATGTGACATCATTTCCTTTTTAGGATATTTTTATACACTGTGTAGTAGTATGTGCGAAAGTGGTCTTCCTCCCTTAATGTTATAAATTAAAGACAATATTCTAATAATTTGGAAATATGTTTTACCCACCTTTTTATTTTAGTCCTTCTGTGCCATTTACCAAAAAGACACCGCTTTTAAAGAATAAATTTATATGGTAATAGAGTATGTTTATGTTCAATTTACTATAATGACATAGCTAGATTTAACTTTGGATGTGGCCTTTACCCACGCTTGTTTAATTTTTAAATATTGTAGTCAATGTTGTTTTATAATTTTTATTCATTAACATATTTAACGCTTCAACTTATTATATCCTATTGAAACTAAGATAATGTAACATTACTTTGCTGAGTTACCTTTATTATTTCATGTAGAAATTTTTCAATTCCTATTTTTGCTGTTTAGTTTTGTCGTGTGAAAAGGCCTAAATTTCAATTACTGTTGTCACAAATACCTATTTTTAGAAGTAGGATCTAGTAGTAAGCCATCAATTGTCTTTTTTGTTAATTGCTTTGAAATAAGTTAAGCGGAACAACATATATGTCCATATTTATTTCTGTCTTTGTGGTGACATTTGTGTGTGGCATAATTCAAGGAAATGATATGGAGCACTTTTCTCATATATTGCAACATTAAGTTTATCAAACATATATTCCATTAAGATCAACACCTCTATGTGTTCTGATGTTCTAATAACATTCTTAAACCGTCCTCTCGACTCTTCTGAAAGTTAACTATATTGCTAGATTTCTTATGGAATTTTAAAGTTATTTTAGCAATAGTTTTTGCTTAGTTAAGTAATATTACTTATTAGTCTATTTTCTCTGCCTCTGCTTACCACTTATATTTATTTGGTACATAACTTAAGCTGTTGCAGTAATTTATAGCTATTAAAAACTAAGAAAAGGACAGAATTGTTACTTCATAATTTTCTAGTTAACCTTTTATTATGTCACCACAAATTACAGTATTTTCATTTCGAATGTAAGGAATAAGATGTGTAAGACAGTATTTTCATACATAATAACTTGTAAATTAAATAGTAATATTAAAGTGGTAGTAAGTTGATGATTTACTAAATAATAAAATGTCTTCATTGTAAATTCATATACATATATGAAGTTGATTAATTTTACCAAAGATTGTGTTATTTTTTATAAATAAAAGGTTATCAAAAATGTTTTTATCTGTTGGCCATGTTACTTACCGTATTGTAAAAATCAGCAAGTCATAACCGTATGCGATTTTCGTACCTGATTCTGTATACCTACTTATATTACATTTGTGTACAAATGGCAAAAAGTCCAACATTATGTGCATAATAAATCAGCATATTATGATCAAGCAAAGGAATTGATAATTATTATTGTAATTAAAACTAAATATACAACATGGCGCTACTACCGCGACGATAAATCAACACACATATAGTGGATAGCTTTTCAAAGTTGAATACACTTACTTTCTTTGAACATCAATATTTTTAGACCACCTTTACGTAAAAAACTGTAACGTAAAGTTCATTTGTAAAGGTCACAAAGCATAATATGAATCGGTTCAATGAATTAGAAAGAGATAAAACATACTGCTAGAAGGAAAGACTTGTCAAGCGACGTTTTGGCAATGAATGGAAAAGTCTGAAATCTGAATGTATGAATCAATCAGTTGTAGTTGTACAGTATGTTACAAATTTTATTTCATTTTTACTTTATTTTTTTAATTATGTACTTTTTATCACGTTTATAATTTTAACGTTTATATTTTTTTATTATTATTATTCTCAAGTAGCGTTAGAAGTGTGTTAATTTAAGGTCGCGGTTGTAACACCATTCTGTATGTATTAAATTAACTCAATTTGGTCGAGAGATGTAGGAAATATATTTAATATTATATATAGGATGAACAGATTACTAGATTTAATTGTTGAACATATCTGGCGGGGATGTAAACTGTCATTACAATTGTATTATCATATCATCATCCTATTGGTACCTAATGTTAACAGACATTTAATGCTTTATATTTTATGAATATATGATTTTACAAATGATTAACAGTAGGTCTTGAAACCATGAGATTACACTTTTTTATTACAAAATATGAGCTGGTGCTCAAAATACATAAGTGATTGTATTGCTAATGCATAAGAAAGTATTATATTTTTTATTCCTTGTGCTATATGCTTGCTATAAATTTATTTTTGTATAACCATATTGAAAATATTTAATATGCTTTTAAACAAAGAGTTCGAACCAGACCTCTGGAAATATTCCCCATGGAGACATCCTATATAAAATTAAATTAGTTATAATTAAGCTATGATGATAATTATTAAAATGATATAGATATACTGTCTAAATTAGCATGAAAGAACTAATTATTGTCGTTTCTCGTTCAAGATAATCTAATAGAGCTTTCTAGCGCACTTGTTAATTAATTCTAATAAAGTATTTTCTTACTGGTTCACAAAGACACAGTTGATGTTAAAGTAGATTTTTCTATTACACTAAGCCTAGGATATAAAAATCTGGTTTCTGCATATTGTATCTACAACAGGCCTGACCAGAAGCGTTATTTAAAATTACAAATAAAATAATATTGTGGTATTGATGTTAATGTTGTATTGTCACAACTGTCTATTTTTCTAACTTCAAAATAGATGTCAAATTATGTATTAACATTAAATTGTTACTGCTGAATAACGTTTTTTATTATAGAAATAATATATACATATATGTTGTTGACATTGCTTTATATATTGTTTCATTTTCATAACTTGCTTGATTTTTAAAGATTTTTTTTATATGAATATCAAGCGTGTGATTACCATTCAAACCTGCCAGGTAAATTTCAATGGCATCGAGCATTGCTAAAATGGCAATGGCAATAAAAACAAGGTAAATAAGACTTTGAGAGCTTAGCTTAGTAACTTTACAGTACATTTGGCAAAAACACATTCTTATTTGATCCTTCAACTTTCACTGAATTGCCTCATTGTGGAGGAATATGATTTCGCTTTTCTTCAGTCGCTCAACAAAATATAGGAATTAAGTGTATACAATGCTACTTGAACAGCTCTCTTTATAGGCCTCGTCTGTTAACCGGACTATATCAGTTACAGGCTCTTCATATGTCTGAATGATAAATAAATATAAATTTTAATCCAAAATAAGAAATACCAACTCATGCGGGGTGCTAATATCTTTTTGTTATACCATTGCGCGCTGTACGGTGGTAAGTAGATTCGATCCCCAAATGGGACAAATAGTTGTTCCCAGATAAATCGCAAATAATTAAAATAGTGATGAAGTTAAAACAGAGATGAGGTAGATAATAATATGTAACTGCTAATGCCCTAATCTTGGTTCTAGCATCCTCATCCAGTGCTTGTCTTGCTTTCAGACGAGTTATTTCTGTGTGAGTGAGTATCTTCAATATGCTGCATGTTTTTTTTTAATTCACTACTAGACCAATTCTGATTTGTAGACAGCAAAAGGTGCAATTCCGCGTTTACGCAAAGCCATCTTTCTTACAAAAGTGTTTAAATAGTGGCACTGGATGTGGTAGGCCAAAAAACAGTTCGCTTCGCTGTTGCAAGAATGGGCAGGTCTGTCCGGTACCATGACCTCACAGAAGACCGGCGTGAAAAGGAAGTGTTATACTTCTGCGTTTCGTCTGGTGAGTGTGGTGACCGGAGCCCATTTTATTAAAAGGTGGCAACGCATCTGCAACCCTACGAGTGTTGCAAATGTCCATGGGCGTCGGTTATCACTTAATATCACTTGAACCGCCTCTTTATGTGAGAACATAAAATAAAACAATAATTTGCTCAAACTGATGGATGCAGGTGGCTCAGGATCGTGCTTTGTGGTGCTCTGGGGAAGGCCTAAGTTCAGCGGTGGACTAAAACATCATAAAATGACGATAATGATTTGATTTTCATGCCCGGTATTCGGCGACAAAATTATCATTTGAATTTTCAATCAAATTTCATGTTTTCGTTTTTCAAGCTCTGTGAAATTTGAATACCTCTATCTTGGTTTAACTTGTTGATTTAAAATTATTATTTGCTTTTTCAACAAACGACGATCAATGCATATCCTTCGGCAAAGCGCCCGGGCTAGTAAAAAAAAATACTAAGTGAAATCAAAGTCATACTGAAACTTTTTCAAATTCGAATCCGGCAGAGTCCGTAGGTGCCAAATATTTAATACTTGACAGACCTCTTATTTTGACAGGCGTTAAGGACCTATCCGATAAATCCATATTTTCGATGTTGATATTTTTATAAATATCAACATCGAAAATACATCGACATATTTCTTCACTTTCGTCATCCTTAACCTAACTCATCGATAATTGATTTAAAAGGGGTGACCTTGGCGGTTAGCCAGTTATTTTCAACTAAGATTTTCAAGTAAGAGGTTATCAATATGATTAAAGTTTCATAAATTGAAAAGTGTGTTAAATAATAATTATTAGGTCATTTAGAAAAGGAAAAACTGTTTGCATTTTTTACATTTTACTAAATCGACTTTTTATATGCATAAAACTTATATATATAATTCAAAGTTATTTAACATTGACACCTTTTAATGAAGGTGCTACAATAACTCCTTTCTCAGGAACAAAAAGTGGGCTGTCTTTGTAACACGCAACTTTGTCATCATTTGTTTTCAAATAAGGAGCACAAGTCTCAAATATTTTCTTCTTAGGGTTTAGTTGTACTTCGGGTTCCCTGGGATAACCTTCACAGTGCACAAGATCACCAGGCAAAACAGCAGGTGGTGGAATAAGAACTTCAACTTTGTCAGGTGATGAAGCACACATGACCATTGCTTCTGATATAATTCCTCGCATCTGGAAATGAAAGCTTTATTAATTAGTTGTTTCTTTATGTTTTTGATTAGTGGTTCAAAACAAAAAAATCATTGAATATTTAATTTAATAGCATTAAATTATTTATTTTTGGGAATACTATACATTTTAATAAAACTGATTTTATCAGATTTTATTTATATTTTAACATGTCAAGTAAGTTTGCATACACACAAAACCATTACATCAGATTTGATAAACAACAAATCCTCACAAAAGAACCCCTTTACCTACAAAGGACGATTTGCAAGAATATTGAAAAAAAAAACATCCAAATTTCAATATAGATGATGGTTCTACTAACATTGGCTAGGGATCCCATTACCAATGAAATTAGGTCTAATACTGGGTTACCTATACCATGGATCAGAATAAAATAAATAATTTTTCAGCTGAGGCTACCCTAAGTTAATAATGACAATAGGACTTCTCATTCTGACCTGTAAGCATGAATACTGTAAAGCATTTGAAACATGTTTTTTAAAACAAACAGCCTATAAATGGCCCTAATCAGCAGGTTAAAGGCCTCCTATATATAATATACAGAGGTATATTAGGTATATTCGAAAATATGCAGGTTTCCTCACTATGTTCTTGACCACCAATTGACAATTTTGTTGGTACTGGCACCTGTGATTGAACTCAAGTTGCTCGAGGATTAAAAGATACAGAATATGGGATTAAAAGTTTGGCCTGGTCAATGTATTATCACTGCTCAAAATAAAATTGAAAAAATCCGAAAATAAGTTATAAAAATGATCTCAATATTCTTTCCTTTTACTATTTAAAAAAATTAAACAAATTTATGTCAGTAATATTTACCTTAACTGGTTTCAAATTGCAGAGCACCATTACAAATTTGTCTCTCATTTCATCAATGGGAACATAGTTTACTAATCCAGACACAACAGTTCTCGGTGTTTGTTCCCCACAATCAATCTTTTCAACATATAATGAGTCTGCATCAGGATGCTTATTTATTTCAACAATCCTGCCAATTCTTAGGTCTAATTTTCTAATGTCTAATAAATCTTCATTATTTGTTGTAGTTGTCACTTTATCCTTACTTTTTTTTGCTGTTTTTTCTTTTTTTTCCTTCACAAAGGGTTGTACATTTTCAACAGTTTTATCTTCTTTAGTCTCCGCCAGTGTAATATTTATTGCGTCGCCAACAGTTAAGATTTTGTTGCTTTCACATGTTTGGTTACCTGGTAAAGGATATTGTTTCTTGCCATTCGAAGTTTCTAGGCTAATGAGTTCACTTTTTGCTACTTCAATTTTTTTTACTAAACTTGAGTTCTCTTTCACTAACTCTTGAATTTTTTCTTCTACTTTGATTTTCTTTAACTCTTCAACCTTAAAAATAAAACAACCTAGTTAACAATTAAATTTTCATCAAAATATGTAAGAGACATAAAAATGCTTATAAATAAAACCTTAGTTTTAATATCGGCCAAACGTTTTTCTGCTGTTTCTGCGTTTAATAAAATATTTGAGAACATTTTTCGAAGATTAATTCGACCGACACCAACCATTACCATAAATCCATATAATATACTAGTGTTGCATATCAATAGACAATCGTTTATCTATCAATCGTTAAGGTAAAAGCAATAGTTTCGGTAGTCTATCGATAGTATTGTCACGTGTCAATACTGTCGATACTACAGATAGTATCAATAGTATTGCAACTGCAATTAGTTTTTGACAAAAACTATCGATACTATCGATAGCCTCGATAGTTTTGTACTATCGATAGCCAGTAAAAGTCTACTGATAGTACAAAACATCGATATTCGAAATTCGAATTTGGGACAGAGTCCGTTCATTCAAATATTTAACACATGGCATGCGTTTTTTTGGACGACAGGGCTTAAAAACAAAAATATCATTATAACGATATTTTCGCTTCGACATATCGAGGCTGATATTGATATTTTTATAAATATCGATGTAGCGATATATTTTTTCACTTTTGGCATCCCTACCAGATTATAATCATATATATTAGGCATGGGCAAAAAATATCGACATTTTTCCATACAATTATCGCATACAATATTTTTATCGCGATAAATCGTTTTTTGTTATTTATTTCGGATTTTAAATTTTAATGATCTGGTTTCGTGTTTAATATTACTACATACTCTTTGCCTGCTCCTCGCACATTAAAAACTATTTTCTTGATGTGTATTCTATTTTACGTATCTGTATTGTTTGAAAATTTAGCATAATCATGCGTATAATGACGATATATCGATTTTTTACTCGATATTTAACGATACTTTTTTAAATATCGATACGATCTATATCAATATATTTTTGTTTACTTGCCCATCCCTGTCATACATAACAATTTTATTATGGATGCAGACAAAATATCGATATTTTTAAATAAGCCAATATATTTAGATCCAATATATCTATATAAAAATTGAATATCCAAATCGTTTCAAAAACAATTTCTATTAAAATTTCATTCAGCTGAATATTATCAGATTCAAAGCCCTAAAAGGTAAAAATGAATGGGAAAAAATATCTGTTGTCTACGTCTAGCATTGTCGCGAAAGCAGTATTACATTTTGAACTAGGTATTTATATTAGAATTCTTATTTTTCTTAGAATGTTTATTTTTCTTTCATATTTAAAAAAGTTAATAAAATGTAATTATAGTCGAATTCTCAATAATTAAATGTCACAATTATAATATAATATCAAGTTTTCATGTGTCGTCAAAAATTATTATTGTTTAACCACATAAGTAACTTTTTAAATTACCGTTCAGCATTTTCATGTCAATCTAAAAACTATTAATAAATTCTGCTGATTTAGGCTAGGCTTTTAGGTCAAGTCTCTGCGGGTTCTTTTTCGACCAGTTAGTAACATAATTTCAAACAACTCTTTGGCTAAAGAAATTGCTTTATCTTACAACATAAGCTGTTTGTTTCCGACGAAAGACTTGGTTAATAATATGCCTAGAAATTTCGATTAATAAAATAAATTTGATTATAATTAATAAATTATTAATGATTAACGTGCTTTCGTTTTTAAAAATATTCTGATTCATTAAAATAATGTGAGTTAGTTATAAAAATACTATAACTTATTATTGAATCAGACTGAACTAAATGACGACCCAAATGGCGTAGTCGGTAGTGTACCTGCCTTCTGCGCCAGAGGGTGTGGGTTCGATCCCCACTACTGGAAAAATATTGTGTGATGAACATAGTGTTTTTCTAGTGTCTGGGTGTTTATACATGTATAATGTGTATTTATTTACAAAATAAAAGTATGTTTAAGTATGTCTATCAGTTTTCTAGTACCCATAGTACAAGCATTGCTTAGTTTGGGACTAGAGAATGTTGTGTAAAAAGAACGTGTCCTAAATATCTTTTTAAAAGCGAAAATGTTACCGATGTATCGATATATTTTTTTTGTAATTGTTGGATTGGACTGGACCGTTATTGGGTATTGATATTTTTATAAATATAGATATATCGATATATTTTTTTACCTTCGGCATCCCTAAAGTTTTTGCTTCACATATTAATATATAGATATAGTATATAACATAGGAATGCAAAATATTTTTTGATGTTGGTGAAATATCGATTTTAAAATCATCGGGCAAAGTGGACATATCATCTCAAGCGCTGCTCTTGGAGCTTATCACCTTGAGATTGCTTCGAATGAATGCGTTGGCAGTACATACCTGTTGCCACTTAGCCCAAGTAACGTGCATCTGGGCTTGGACATCTTGGTCTATGTTTTCGGACTCGTGAAAAAAAATAATCCTAGAGACCAAACATGATTCCGACTTAACTTCAGGACCTATTTGGATCGTGCTAGAGTTTTAACTCTTGCAAGCCATGTACTCGGTCTTCGCTCCCAGAGATTTACTTTTTCCTCCAGTTTCAGTCGTCTATTGTCAATAAGTGCTATGTCATCGACATACATTATCAGCCATGGAGGCTGATCCTATATGTGAGTCGAGATTACACGTAGGACTACTTTAAACAAGAACGGACTAACTGCCCGAACACTGTAGTACCTCTACAATGTTCGAGAACACAGAAAGCAACCACTATGTTAGAAAAGGTTATGAAAAAAATGTATAATAAGGAGAAAAAGAGCTACGGGTAGGACATTGAATTAATTGAAAAGATTAACTAGATGCTACGAATTAACATTCCACAAGCACTCATGTTGTAAATAAGTAGAAACAAATTTCAAAGTGGTTTCTTCACTCCGGCGTAACGAGATTTTGCGGAACTGAACTCGACTAAAAGGACAGGTTTCGGTCTTGTTTAGCAGTTTCAAGCGAGTAAGCAGTCTGGTGTGTGAGAGCTGCTACTCGTTGAAAAAATGGAACGAAAAGGATAGAGTCGACTAAATGATTTGCTAATCTAGGTATTCGACAAAATTTTTGTTTTTCAGACACGTTACTAAATTAGTTACTACATTACTTGGTAGTCGAATAGTACAAGCTAGAAAATCTCTACGTATAGTTGTGACCGTTCTCTTCTGCCAAGGATTTACGAAAGACTATTCTCTTGATGTTCTTTTCTTTTAAATATTGCCTTCACTTTAGCCTGAACTTATAACATTATTCCGTATTATAAAGACATTTTTAAACATAAATTTAACGTTGACTCGTGTGGTAATCGAACCCACCACCGCCGACACCGAAGCCAATACCTTGCCAGCTACGCCACGGAGTCATCAAATTCTTGTTCTTGACGTTTGGAGTGATAATTTCGACCAAAATATTCTTGATGCACGATATTATGTTTGTGACTATTCATCTCAGAATTAATTATATCCGCAACAATAGATAATGGTATCCAATGAAAAATGGTGTAATAGACTGAAATTCTAGAAAATGGATAAAATTAAAAATGTAAATGCTTTTCTAGACAGTATGCGCACAGAGTAAGTAGCGAAGCAAAGACAATTATAGGGTAACATTATGCTCCCAGTCTCACAGAAAACAAAAAAAAAAAGAAATATGGCCGTTGGAATGGCGTCATAAATAGTTTCTGACGTTGTTTATATTTGCGTAAGATACCTATTCGAATAAAGTTTTTAAATACTAAAAGTGTGCATAGTGAGTAAAATGTAATTGTTTTATGCAGTGATTTATGGACCGTTTGATATAATGTATTAGATATAAAAGATAGAACAATGTCAAACAATACTGTCGGCTCATCGGGGCATGCTCCCGGCAAAATACGTGGGCCTGGAAGACCTCCTAAACGTACTTGTACCTGGTGTGCTGAAAGTAAAACACCATTAAAGTATGTATTACCGACTGAGAATGGTAAAAAAGAGTTTTGCTCGGAGACATGTCTTTCAGAATTTAGACAGGCTTACAGCAAAGGTGCTTGTCTTCACTGTGACAATGTCATTCGAGGTAATGCTCCTTCGAGTAGTAAAAATTTTTGTTCTACTTATTGTCTTAATAAATATCAAAAGAAGAATGAAAAGCGAACTACCTCCCCGCAGTCTGGCAATGGCGCAAACGGGTCAGAAAATCATTCGAACAACAATTCGACCGGTTCTTTCTACGACATTTTTCAATTGTTTGATTGGATGGAATATATGAAAGAAACTAATAGTTCAGCAGCACCTCAGGAATGCTTTAAGCAGGCTGCAGTGCCTCCTGTCAATGATTTTAAAGTGAATATGAAGTTAGAGGCTCTTGATCCACGAAATTTAACATCTACTTGTATTGCGACTGTAGTTGGTGTTTTGGGACCACGGTTGAGGTTAAGATTGGATGGCAGTGATAACAAAAATGATTTTTGGAGACTAGTGGATGCTGGTGACATACATACTATTGGACACTGTGAAAAAAATGATGGAATGCTACAACCTCCTCTTGGATTTCGAATGAATGCCAGTAGTTGGCCTATGTTTTTACTAAAGACTTTGAATGGAGCTGAAATGGCTCCAGCTAAGGTTTTTCAACCTGAGCCACCAACACCCAAATCAAATTTGTTTGTTGTTGGTCAAAAGCTTGAGGCAGTTGACAAGAAAAATCCACAATTAATATGTTGTGCTACAGTTGGGGCAGTAAAAAATGATCAAATTCATGTTACATTTGATGGTTGGAGAGGTGCTTTTGATTATTGGTGTAGATATGATTCCAGGGACATATTTCCCGTTGGTTGGTGTGCTAGAGCAGGACATCCTTTGCAACCACCAGGACAAAAAAGTGCAACCACTCCATCTAGGTAAAATAACATTTTTGTATAATTTTTTAATTGTGTTTTGGTAAGATGTTAGCTTAGTTGTTTATTTTATAATTTTTTTTAATAACAAAGATATTTAATTTTTTATAAACTTTAATTTCTTTTCTTTTTTTATTTATGACATTTTAATTTTTTAACACTTTGCACACTACATTATAAAGTGCACTTTAACAAATAATTTTATTTGTATTTAATCTTACTTTTTCATAGTCTGTTGCATTTTTCAGATTTAAGTTACGTCCTATTGGAATGCCCAATCCAGCGCTTCCTGAAGGCGGATCTACTGGTAGCACAAATTCCACCAATCCTTCAACACCAACACCTATAGTTCCTGCTGTGCATTTGCGTATTCATAGTAGTTGTTCAGGAGGAAATGCATCCTTGCCTAGTATGGTATCAGGCCTGGGACAATCTGGTGCTGCGGAGGCTCTAGCAAAGGAACTGTTGAGTGTCCATCCTGATCCTCAAAGGATATCACTAGCAATACTAACTGCTTCAAGCAGTTATACAAATGTTACTACTGTGCAGGTAATTATTTAATTGGTTCTATGTTTATAGTTTCCCTTTTTTTTAAACAATTCTTATATAATGTAGTATGAATCAATAGATAGGTATATGTGCTAAATCCATTAAAACAAATTACAATAAATAGTGCTGCTTTTTGCGCCTATTATGTATATGTTTCCTTCGTTCTGCATTATGGCATATCATGTTATGGGATATATATATCAGAGCTTTCAGAATACAGAAAAAATCTCTATAAGTGGAAGAGACACAAAATACTTAAACAGGTCTGTACCACTATTTAAAAGAAAACTTTATTCTACCTATACCTTGTTTTTACATACATACATTTATGAAATTCGCATATTTGTTATTAAATATCTGATCATCTTTCAAATTGATTTTGAAATATTAGATCGTCTAACAAATTACACTGTCATGTATAGCAGAAATTGTCATTATATGGCTATTAGGATTTATAATAAATTACCAAATAGAATAAAAACTTCCAATTTAAAGTTCTTTGATAAGAGTTTGTTTAATTTTCTTATAAATATTATTGGTTAAATTTCTTATAATTTTCTATTAAATATTCTGTTTCAATTCCAAAAGCTATTATCTAAAGTACAACATTTTGTAAAATAGTTTCCTAAATTTTTCTTCACATAATTAAGGATGCTATTTTACAAAACTATTTTACATAAATGTAAAATGTAATTTTTGTCTAAATTTTTATCTGAACTAAATTTTCTACCACAAATGGTAAAACATAAGGGACATTACAACTTTTAAAACCTATACTGTTTTATGTTTTAACAAATAAACATAATATCTTAAATTAAATAAAAAATTATGTTGTTAACAATTAAATTTTACTTTTAAGGTTTCAACTGGAAGTAAAACTTATACTGTCAAAGTGCCATCTGATCTGACAAATGATGAGCTCAAAAATTGGCTTAAACTTTTATGCGTGGGACTGGAGTGTTGTGTGGGAATGATTGAATTGGATACAGGAGAGGCTGCGGGACGGCCCTGTGTTCTTTGTGGAGAATCAACATCAAATGGTGTTTCATCTGCTACTAAAAGACCTATTAATGTAAGTACTCGAAAAATAATTTTACAAATCACAATTATAGTTCAATAGATAAGATAGTGTTGTCTAAATTCTTTTACAAATGACGTTTCTAACTTAAAATCTTAGTCATAATAAAAATTAATGTGTCAAATTGTGGTAGATAAAGCTGTTGATTATTGTATGATGCCTAATATTTTAACAATTATTATCTTTATCATTAAATGAAATCTGAATTAGTAGTCTCAAGTGCTATTTCTAAAGATGGATTGTATTTTTCGTCAGGAATTACCATCTAATAATGGTGTTAATGGATCCGGTGAAACTTCGGGTTGTAAAATGGCACGTGTTTCACCCGAGAGGCCAGAACCGGCGTCTTCGACTACCGGCGCTCCGCCCCCGCCTTCACCCGCAGTGCCACCCGCCGATTGGTCGGTAGAAGATGTCATCGGATTTATAGCTGCCGCTGATCCGGCATTAGCGGCTCATGCAGATCTATTTCGTAAACATGTAAGTAACATATTAATCCAATTCTATCTGCTTTTTAATTGTATTTTTACCATAAGTTTACCCTACATTTAACAAAAGTTTTGAAGACACAACAACATGCAACCCTATTTTGAAAGACTGCATTTTGAAAACTTATCGATTTACTGATAGGCATGTGTTAATCCCAATGGCATGCTCTAGTTAGTCTCTCACTTCAAATTTCATCTAATTAGTCTCTCACTATATTTAAAAAATAACATTTAACTGGCATATTTCTGTCTCTTTAGGTATTGAACAACATGAGGATTTGTATTGGATATTTTCGTTTTCTATTACCACTGAATTTTATTTCCGAATAGTTTTATTAATAATAATAGTTTTAAGTGATTACATTTGTGTTAAATTTACCTGTATTTGTCATTTAAGGTATCATAACATTTTTTTCTCTTGTTGCAGGAAATTGATGGAAAAGCTCTTTTGTTGTTAAACTCAGATATGATGATGAAGTACATGGGTTTAAAACTAGGCCCAGCATTAAAAATCTGTAACCTGGTATCAAAAATAAAAAATCGCCGCCACTATAGCACCTAACCATACAACATTTGACACTCATGGAGTATTGAAACTACAAGTTTCATGTATTGTGCTAATCAAAAATACATTTTATTCCATATTTTTTTGCATTTTCACAATAAAGTTGAGCCGAGGACAGTTTGTATATCATGTTTGGAATCTCAGCAAATGTAGTACATACAGGTTCGTTATTTATCACAACTTTTACATTTTATTGTTGTGATGCAGCTAGTGAAAAAAACAAGAATAGCAATAAAGTGAGTTTTTAGAGCACACATATGGTTAACATAATACACCAATTTCGTATTTCTTGTAAGATGTAAATTATTTTATAGTCAGATGTAAATAAGTGTTACAAATGAGTAAAAATGCATTTAATGTAGTCAGTACTCATTTTACATACTAGGCTATAAAGATTAAATTTTTAATTGCTCTAGCTTTATTGTTAGGCATTTGAATTGTATATAAATATATATATACATGTATGTATTATTAATATTATTGCCTAGTCCTATGTCGAAGATGTTGCCTATATACCATTCCATTAATGGTTTAATTATGGTCGTCTACACAGTTTCATAACATTCTATAAGATTTTTGATAGTTAAAAAATAGGTGATTTTGCTATGATAATTTTATTTTAATAAATGGGGTGTTTTTAATTCAATAGAATTTTAATTATTTTCTTGTCGTTAGAATAAATGCTAAACATTGCTTAATGAATTGCCCTTTAAGTGTTATTAAAACACTTTTGTGAATAAAATGCAAAATAATATTTTTGTTTTTCAAAACAAACACAAAATTTTTAATCACACTGGAAAAGTAATGGACTTTAATATCTAATAGAAACAATTTGTTCAATGAAAAGTGGCCAGTGGTCAAACAATCTAGATCTGTAGGAACACATTTATTAGTTTTTCATATAGTGTTAAGGTCAATGCTCAGGTGGGAGCTACTTTTATCGTCGCATAAAATATTTCAGTAGCAATCGAGAGTATTAAAAAGTTAATATAAAATTTACTTAATAATGGCTTAACTTATTGATCAATGGATTTCCCTTGGCAGAGAATAATATAATCAAAAATCTCTTTACAATTATTAACAGTACTTTCCAAATATTATATAAATTATTAACTCCCTAGATTAAAATTGGTGAGATAGACAAGAAGTACTTTTTCGAAGGGAAATTCTTCCGGAATGAATATAAAAATAACCTTGGAGCAGTATTTTTCTGAGTTTAATTTAAATATTAGTGTAAAAAAGTAGTAAGAACAATTAGGTTATTCTTGTTTCGTTCGGTCTTGTTAAGTTACAGTACAAGCCATTATGGAATTCTGCCTTGTCTGTTGCAACTGTGTAGACCACTGTAACTGTATGACCAACAAATTGATTGATTACCCGTGTACAGAAATTATTGTAGACTAGGGTCTTAGTGCCTTCCAGTTTAGGTGTACTTAAAATACAGAAGTGAATACAACATACAAAAACAGTCTAGCATAGTTGTACTATTTTGTAACTGGTTTTAACTAGATTTGGTTTATGACTTCTTTTCAAAAAGTAACTATAGGCGACAATTTATTTTTCTTTATTATCATTTGTTTATTTGCATAGGAATGCAGTGAAAGTTCTTCATGTTTATTTTCATAGGAGTGCTGGTGTTTTTAGGCTTTTATTTCCAGTTCATTACATTTTTTTATTGTTTTGACATTGTGTACAGCCAATGATTTTTTTCAAGTTCATGTATTTGTGTGTACCAATTTATTATATACAATGATTTAGGCTATAGAGGACTGGGTTTCATATAGTTCCTTTTAATATGATTGTTAATGACTTATTTTCAGTTTATTCATTTCCAAAAAATAATATTATTTTTAGCGCGCTCGAAACCACAATCCATCCCGAGTCTATACTTAGATTCGACAATTTACTTGTATCAGAGAGAGGTTTATTTTTTCATCCTTCGTTTTAGTGCATCAACCCAAAAAATACTTTCTGACTGATGGATTTTGTTTGCATCGGATCGTGAATTTCGGTATAAATTTTGTCTAACACCTACAAACGTACATGTAATAACAATTAATTCTGACTTCATCGTGATATCAACGTTTTTAATATTCAGAGCGGTCATTTTACCGTGATTTTATGCAATAACAGCTCCTGCAGAACTAATTACGTTCTGCAGGAGCTATTCGTTTACGAAGTCATCCGTTTAATGGAAAGTGTATTATTATTCGGGTGTGTATTTATTTCTTCGACAAATAATACGAAGTGGGAAAGTTAAATATGATAGAATGGAACTTTCTAGTCCTTGTTGGGTTTACAAAGAAGTTTGTACCAATCCATCGGTATGCGTGGGTACATGTTTTCGTGTAGATATTAAAATTATTTTATAAACATTAAAAAATGTTCCTTTCGTCATTTTTCTTTTGGACATATTTTCAAATGAATTCCTTGTAAACACTAATCGCATATAATTTTTTTAATTTGGCACTTTTAAGGGTTTATTGTAATGTTTAAACATTTTATAATGTGATATTTAAATGTTATCTGTTATAGTGATAAAACGAAGAATAATTAATAAATTTGCGTTAATAAATTAGAATGTATACTTAAGTTTTCATGACATATGAATTATAATATTAAATGAAAAAATTATGTAATATAATCATGATAAGTTTTGCTTTGCAATAAAGTTTGATGCTTTATTGAAATTGTAATTGAATTGTGATTTTGCGTTCGGTAATTTAATACTTTATTTGTATATAAATTTCGGATTACTTCCAACTTTTCTACTACATAAACTATTGCCTTCCAAGTTGTACATTTGAAATTTGTTGTCGATTGTTTGTGTATTCAACAGTGCTTCGGTAACTTTTTACGCCATTAACAATGAAATTATGTTCTGTCTTGGGTGCATGTCTATTAAGTAATGTTCCTTGTATATACATATATATATTAAATAGTTTTACATTAGAGAGGTGTGATTTATTTCACATTATAGAAATATTATTTCATTTTTAATAATTTTATGTACATAGGCCAATAATTGGAAACCAGACGTGTAAAATAAAAGTTTAATTCAAATTATAGTGGCGGTTTTATTGGCGCAGTCCGTCTATCTCAACTTTATTCACTCGTCGATGCGTTTTAACAAGAGTCTGTGCGTTCCAATGCATCTCCGTTATCGGGAGCACGCACTTATGGTGACGTTTGAAAACAAAAAGTACTATCGCAAACGCGAGGAGACGCATCGCGTCGCAGTTGCCAAACAGTCACTGTTTGCCGTTTGTTGTTGCCAGTCGCGAACGCTGCCCAACCAATGCCCGCCGAGAAATTGACGTGATTACCAACAATTGTGTTATTATCCGGACTGTTCCGACAATATGGAGCTACAGCAGCGCAACGACGACAACGGTAAGACAAGTTGGCTGTGAAGTGAAAGTGATATTGTCGAGTATGTTGACCTCGAGTTTGCCATTTTCATTAACATTGAAAAAATTTAAATGGCAATAAAGTTTTATGTTATTTAGCTCAAAGACGCGATGATGAAGAATTTTGGGCGAACACGTTCGTAAAGAATCCGGGTGCATTCCGGTATTTGGAATAAATAAGTTTAAGCATTATGTATAAAGTGCGCTGTATGGAGGCGGTTTTAGTGCATGTGACATTCTCAATCGGGTCCTTAGGGTGATTCAAAATAAACGCATTTGTGCCACAAGGAAAACAAAATTAAGTACTTATTCGTTCAAAACCAATATTGCAGAGGCGAGCACGTGTTAAAGAAATGCAGAACCTTACATTTTCGTTGTTGTTTTGTACTGGATTGCGAATAAACAGACAAAACTTCATTAAACCAGTCTTACTTTGAACTTTCAATTAAACCTGTTGTGATGGATTAGATGGACTTGATGCTAGGACTAACCTGGATTAGATGCTAGGAATTTGTCACTGTGGCAACTTGATTACACAATCGTCTTTTTCAAACACAAGGATGCCATTTTTGAATTTTATTTAAGTAATGGCTTACTCATTGAAAATTAAGAAATCTCAATTAGGTAGTTCAAAATTTTTTTACGATTTTTTTAGTGCAAGTCTGCAGATTTTTTTGTTCATTTATCTACAAAAATTTATAGTTACTCCTAATTCTGTTTAAGAATTAAATCAAATTCTTTCCACACCGAAAAAGGTTTGGAGTTTCGCGGCTGGCGGCCCTAGAGTACACCTAAATCTTATGACTGTTTAAGGATGTCCAGCACTTTGTATTTTCCTCATCACGCAAAAATTTATATAATAAAAAGTTTGTTAAAATGTTTTTTGTATAAAGTTTTTTGAAGTTTCTCTCATTATAAAGAAAGCTAAAGGACTACATTTTCTTCTAAATTGTTTTCGTATAGTGAAAATTAAAATAACCAAACATTACTAATCACAATATACATTTATATTTGTTTCAATTGGTTATTTTTTAACTAATTAAGTGTAGTCTGTGAACTTTGCTTGGAGTTTCGATTTTTGGTTTTTTAAGTATTTTGACGATCCGTTTGGCGCAGTACATAGTAAATCTTTCTCATGTGCTAGAGGGTTCGGTTACACAATATTTTTTCAATAATGGGCATTGGAAAAATATTGTGTTATTAATATAGTGTTTTTCATGTTTCATTTCTATATCTACAATATGTATTTATTACAAAACAGAGGCATGTTTAAGTATGCTTATCAGTTATCTAGTGTCCACAGCATACGATTTGCTTAGTTTTTTACTAGATAATGTTGTGTAAAAAGTTTTTAGATGATTATTTTATTCCTTCCTTGGGATATGTTGGAATTATATTGATTGAAAAGAAATAATTTAGTGAAATCTATTGCTTAGGAAACCATTTATGATAATTGATGGTTCAGTATAAGCCACTTGATTATCTTTTTCATCATTTTGTTGTTCTTCATTTTCTGCATTGCATTTAGAATGATTTAGTCCGACTCTTTTGTAGAGTGATAACATAAGCAATAATATTGATGCGTCCGATGAAGCTTTAATAGTCTCGGGACTGAAAGCAAAAACATCAGTTAATACAAGAATAATATTGATAATAGATATTGAAAATATTTATTAACGTTTAAATGATGAACTTATCTATTTGTAATAGAGATTGAATGTTGCGTTAAAAAGATTTAGTTAGTATCCTTGTTTGGGTTTCAAGGTAAAACAGAAATTTACCAAATTTTTACATTAAAGGAAGTGTCCTTGTAATCTCTTTAAAGAGTATACTTACCACATTGGGCCTTTTCGTTGACAATCGTTAACAATTTTACACAGTTCATATGTCCCTTGATGGTAACTTAGTAATTATAGGTACTCCTCACGAGTTCACAGGAAGAATTCTGAGAGGAATTGATCATTAGCTTTTTTTATTTTTCATAGAAAAAAATCCCTGATTCACTCCGTTGCCCGCTTGACTTGATTTTGAAACTTAGTATAAGTAAACTAGTAATAGTTTGTGCTTTTTGCGTACCCGCTTATATTTTTCAAGATTTCTTAAAAGAGCTAAGAGATGTTTCCCTCAACCATTACCACCTGCTACCTGGAACCACATGCCACGATAAAACGACGAAAAAGTCAACAAAGGTCTTATTTCTTATCAACATCTATAAAGAACCATGAATTGAATTACTTTACATTCCATTAAACGGTTGAACATTATTTTGATTTTTTTTTTTTGTTTTATCACGGTCATAAATGTTTGTGTTCAAATCTAGAGTATGCTTCAAATTATACGCACAAATTAAATTTTATCGTATTGTTGGTAGAAAAACCTTAGATACATATCTATTAATTGAAAGTGTCTCGTATACCAAACACTCGAGAACATCTGTTGTCTACTATTGAGTTTCGTGTAGTGATAGCTAGATCAATGTCAGC